GAATAGGACACCGGGGACCTCTGTACTCTGCTGTTACTTCAAGCATAGGACACCGGTGAAGTATGTACTCAGCTCTTACTTCAAGAATAGGACACCGGTGAAGTATGTACTCAGCTCTTACTTCAAGCATAGGACACCAGGGACCTCTGTACTCAGCTCCTACTTCAAGCATAGGACACCGGTGAAGTATGTACTCAGCTCTTACTTCAAGAATAGGACACCGGGGACCTCTGTACTTAGCTCCTACTTCAAGCATAGGACACCGGTGAAGTATGTACTCAGCTCTTACTTCAAGCATAGGACACCGGGGACCTCTGTACTTAGCTCCTACTTCAAGCATAGGACACCGGTGAAGTATGTACTCAGCTCTTACTTCAAGAATAGGACACCAGGGACCTCTGTACTCTGCTCTTACTATAAGCATAGGACACCGGTGAAGTATGTACTCAGCTCTTACTTCAAGAATAGGACACCGGTGAAGTATGTACTCAGCTCCTACTTCAAGCATAGGACACCGGGGACCTCTGTACTCAGCTCTTACTTCAAGCATAGGACACCGGTGAAGTATGTACTCAGCTCCTACTTCAAGCATAGGACACCGGGGACCTCTGTACTCAGCTCTTACTTCAAGCATAGGACACTGGTGATGTATGTACTCAGCTCCTACTTCAAGCATAGGTCACCGGGGACCTCTGTACTCAGCTCTTACTTCAAGCATAGGACACCGGGGACCTCTGTACTCAGCTCTTACTTCAAGCATAGGACACCGGGGAACTCTGTACTCCGCTGTTACTTCAAGCATAGGACACCGGGGACCTCTGTACTCCGCTCTTACTTCAAGCATAGGACACCAGGGACCTCTGTACTCAGCTCTTACTTCAAGCATAGGACACCGGTGAAGTATGTACTCAGCTCTTACTTCAAGCATAGGACACCAGGGACCTCTGTACTCCGCTCTTACTTCAAGCATAGGACACCAGGGACCTCTGTACTCAGCTCTTACTTCAAGCATAGGACACCGGTGAAGTATGTACTCAGCTCTTACTTCAAGCATAGGACACCGGGGACCTCTGTACTCAGCCCTTACTTCAAGCATAGGACACCGGTGAAGTATGTACTCAGCTCTTACTTCAAGCATAGGACACCGGGGACCTCTGTACTCAGCTCTTACTTCAAGAATAGGACACCGATGAAGTATGTACTCAGCTCTTACTTCAAGCATAGGACACCGGTGAAGTATGTACTCAGCTCTTACTTCAAGAATAGGACACCGGGGACCTCTGTACTCTGCTGTTACTTCAAGCATAGGACACCGGTGAAGTATGTACTCAGCTCTTACTTCAAGAATAGGACACCGGTGAAGTATGTACTCAGCTCTTACTTCAAGCATAGGACACCAGGGACCTCTGTACTCAGCTCCTACTTCAAGCATAGGACACCGGTGAAGTATGTACTCAGCTCTTACTTCAAGAATAGGACACCGGGGACCTCTGTACTTAGCTCCTACTTCAAGCATAGGACACCGGTGAAGTATGTACTCAGCTCTTACTTCAAGCATAGGACACCGGGGACCTCTGTACTTAGCTCCTACTTCAAGCATAGGACACCGGTGAAGTATGTACTCAGCTCTTACTTCAAGAATAGGACACCAGGGACCTCTGTACTCTGCTCTTACTATAAGCATAGGACACCGGTGAAGTATGTACTCAGCTCTTACTTCAAGAATAGGACACCGGTGAAGTATGTACTCAGCTCCTACTTCAAGCATAGGACACCGGGGACCTCTGTACTCAGCTCTTACTTCAAGCATAGGACACCGGTGAAGTATGTACTCAGCTCCTACTTCAAGCATAGGACACCGGGGACCTCTGTACTCAGCTCTTACTTCAAGCATAGGACACTGGTGATGTATGTACTCAGCTCCTACTTCAAGCATAGGTCACCGGGGACCTCTGTACTCAGCTCTTACTTCAAGCATAGGACACCGGGGACCTCTGTACTCAGCTCTTACTTCAAGCATAGGACACCGGGGAACTCTGTACTCCGCTGTTACTTCAAGCATAGGACACCGGGGACCTCTGTACTCCGCTCTTACTTCAAGCATAGGACACCAGGGACCTCTGTACTCAGCTCTTACTTCAAGCATAGGACACCGGTGAAGTATGTACTCAGCTCTTACTTCAAGCATAGGACACCAGGGACCTCTGTACTCCGCTCTTACTTCAAGCATAGGACACCAGGGACCTCTGTACTCAGCTCTTACTTCAAGCATAGGACACCGGTGAAGTATGTACTCAGCTCTTACTTCAAGCATAGGACACCGGGGACCTCTGTACTCAGCCCTTACTTCAAGCATAGGACACCGGTGAAGTATGTACTCAGCTCTTACTTCAAGCATAGGACACCGGGGACCTCTGTACTCAGCTCTTACTTCAAGAATAGGACACCGATGAAGTATGTACTCAGCTCTTACTTCAAGCATAGGACACCGGTGAAGTATGTACTCAGCTCTTACTTCAAGAATAGGACACCGGGGACCTCTGTACTCTGCTGTTACTTCAAGCATAGGACACCGGTGAAGTATGTACTCAGCTCTTACTTCAAGCATAGGACACCGGGGACCTCTGTACTCAGCTCTTACTTCAAGCATAGGACACCGATGAAGTATGTACTCAGCTCTTACTTCAAGCATAGGACACCGGTGAAGTATGTACTCAGCTCTTACTTCAAGAATAGGACACCGGGGACCTCTGTACTCTGCTGTTACTTCAAGCATAGGACACCGGTGAAGTATGTACTCAGCTCTTACTTCAAGAATAGGACACCGGGGACCTCTGTACTCTGCTGTTACTTCAAGCATAGGACACCGGTGAAGTATGTACTCAGCTCTTACTTCAAGAATAGGACACCGGTGAAGTATGTACTCAGCTCTTACTTCAAGCATAGGACACCAGGGACCTCTGTACTCAGCTCCTACTTCAAGCATAGGACACCGGTGAAGTATGTACTCAGCTCTTACTTCAAGAATAGGACACCGGGGACCTCTGTACTTAGCTCCTACTTCAAGCATAGGACACCGGTGAAGTATGTACTCAGCTCTTACTTCAAGCATAGGACACAGGGGACCTCTGTACTTAGCTCCTACTTCAAGCATAGGACACCGGTGAAGTATGTACTCAGCTCTTACTTCAAGAATAGGACACCGGGGACCTCTGTACTCTGCTGTTACTTCAAGCATAGGACACCGGTGAAGTATGTACTCAGCTCTTACTTCAAGAATAGGACACCGGTGAAGTATGTACTCAGCTCTTACTTCAAGCATAGGACACCGGGGACCTCTGTACTCAGCTCTTACTTCAAGAATAGGACACCGGGGACCTCTGTACTTAGCTCTTACTTCAAGCATAGGACACCGGGGACCTCTGTTCTCAGCTCTTACTTCAAGCATAGGACACCGGTGAAGTATGTACTCAGCTCTTACTTCAAGCATAGGACACCGGGGACCTCTATACTCAGCTCTTACTTCAAGCATAGGACACCGGGGACCTCTGTAGTCAGCTCTTACTTCAAGAATAGGACACCGGGACCTCTGTACTCTGCTGTTACTTCAAGCATAGGACACCGGTGAAGTATGTACTCAGCTCTTACTTCAAGAATAGGACACCGGGGACCTCTGTACTTAGCTCCTACTTCAAGCATAGGACACCGGGGACCTCTGTACTCAGCTCTTACTTCAAGCATAGGACACCGGTGAAGTATGTACTCAGCTCTTACTTCAAGAATAGGACACCGGGACCTCTGTACTCTGCTGTTACTTCAAGCATAGGACACCGGTGAAGTATGTACTCAGCTCTTACTTCAAGCATAGGACACCGGGGACCTCTGTACTCAGCTCTTACTTCAAGCATAGGACAACGGTGAAGTATGTACTCCGCTCTTACTTCAAGCATAGGACACCGGGGACCTCTGTACTCAGCTCTTACTTCAAGCATAGGACACCGTTGAAGTATGTACTCAGCTCTTACTTCAAGAATAGGACACCGGGGACCTCTGTACTCCGCTGTTACTTCAAGCATAGGACACCGGGGACCTCTGTACTCTGCTGTTACTTCAAGCATAGGACACCGGGGACCTCTGTACTCAGCTCTTACTTCAAGCATAGGACACAGGGGAACTCTGTACTCTGCTGTTACTTCAAGCATAGGACACCGGGGGCCTCTGTACTCAGCTCTTACTTCAAGCATAGGACACAGGGGAACTCTGATCTCGGTTCTTACTTCAAGCATAGGACACCGGTGAAGTATGTACTCAGCTCTTACTTCAAGCATAGGACACCGGGGACCTCTGTACTCAGCTCTTACTTCAAGCATAGGACACAGGGGAACTCTGTACTCTGCTGTTACTTCAAGCATAGGACACCGGGGACCTCTGTACTCAGCTCTTACTTCAAGCATAGGACACAGGTGAACTCTGATCTCGGTTCTTACTTCAAGCATAGGACACTGGTGAAGTATGTACTCAGCTCCTACTTCAAGCATAGGTCACCGGGGACCTCTGTACTCAGCTCTTACTTCAAGCATAGGACACCGGGGACCTCTGTACTCAGCTCTTACTTCAAGCATAGGACACAGGGGAACTCTGATCTCGGTTCTTACTTCAAGCATAGGACACCGGTGAAGTATGTACTCAGCTCTTACTTCAAGAATAGGACACCGGGGACCTCTGTACTCAGCTCTTACTTCAAGCATAGGACACCGGGGAACTCTGATCTTGGTTCTTACTTCAAGCATAGGACACCGGTGAAGTATGTACTCAGCTCTTACTTCAAGCATAGGACACTGGGGACACACCTTGCTACATGTCTTAGGGTTTTTCTAAGTTTTATTAAATTAGCAATGATGATGGGTAAGAAAGGTCCTTTGCTTTTTCCTGTCCAAAGCTAAGTAGACAAAATATGTCTGACTCATTTCTATTACTTTATAATATTTCAAATGTAAAAATATGTTCCTATCATTATTTATTATAACAATGTATCTTCAGTTCACATATAAACAATTAAGGCACAATTCAACAATGTTTTATGCAAATAATTTAGTGATCCTCCTATAAACGACGTCAAGGAAATGTATCTCAATGTCAATATCACATGTCATCAGTCCAATTCCTGCTGCTGATGTTTCTGTCAGCACCTGCATCACTTTATGGTATCCTCCATCTTTAGGCTGACATGCATTGATGAAATACAGTTTAACAGCCTCACAACTAACTCCATCACTCACAATGAAGTCCATAAAAGCTAGCTGTCCCAACAGTCTTCATGTTTTAGCAGTGACAGCATCAAACAGCTTCACAATTCACCCCATCACACACAAAGGAGTCCTCAATGGCTAGCTGTCCCAACAGTGACAGCCTCACAATTCACTCTACCATACACAATGTATTCCTTTGTGGCTAGCTGTCCCAACAGTCTTCATGTTTTAGCAGTGACAGCCTCACAATTCACTCTACCATACACAATGTATTCCTTTGTGGCTAGCTGTCCCAACAGTCTTCATGTTTTAGCAGTGACAGCCTCACAATTCACCCCATCACACACAAAGAAGTCATCAATGGCAAGCTGTCCCAGAAATGTTCATGCTTTTGCAGTGATGGCATCAAACAGCCTCCTCACACACTGGCAAATAGCATTCGCCTCCTCCTGAAATTAGGACATTGGGATCAGATATATCAATCTCCTTAAAATCAAATCTTTTACTCCAATGCAATACCTGTGTTTGTGAAGAGCTGACAAACCCTCCATTGGAGGCCACATCAGGTGAACCCTTAATCTTGAACCTATGACCAAAAACATTCATGGGTTGTGACAACTCGATCTCAGCTTCCTTCAGATATAACACTGGTTGATGACCTACCTGTATGTGTCATTGGAAGATAAAAACTGGTTGATGACCTACCTGTATGTGTCATTGGTAGACATAACACTGGTAGCACTGGTTGATGACCTACCTCTATGTGACATTGATAGATATAATACTGGTTGATGACCTACCTCTGTGTGACATTGGTAGATACAAGCTGGTTGATGACCTACCTGTATGTGTCATTGGTAGATATAATACTGGTTGATGACCTACCTCTGTATGACATTGATAGATATAATACTGGTTGATGACCTACCTCTGTGTGACATTGGTAGATACAACACTGGTTGATGAACTACCTCTGTATGACATTGGTAGATACAACACTGGTTGATGACCTACCTCTGTGTGACATTGGAAGATAAAAGCTGGTTGATGACCTACCTGTATGTGTCATTGGTAGATATAATACTGGTTGATGACCTACCTCTGTATGACATTGGAAAATACAACACTGGTTGATGACCTATCTCTGTGACATTGGTAGATGTAATACTGGTTGATGACCTACCTATGTATGACATTGGTAGATACATAACTGGTTGATGACCTACCACTGTGTGACATTGGTAGATACAACACTGGTTGATGACCTACCTCTGTATGACATTGGTAGATATAACACCTAGTAGCACTGGTTGATGACCTACCTCTGTATGACATTGGTAGATACAACACTGGTTGATGACCTACCACTGTGTGACATTGATAGATACAACACTGGTTGATGACCTACCTCTGTATGACATTGGTAGATACAACACTGGTTGATGACCTACCTCTGTATGACATTGGTAGATATAACACCTAGTAGCACTGGTTGATGACCTACCTCTGTATGACATTGGTAGATATAATACTGGTTAATGACCTACCTCTCTATGACATTGGTAGATATGATACTGGTTGATGCCCTACCTCTGTGTGACATTGGTAGATATAAAACTGGTTGATGACCTACCTCTGTATGACATTGGTAGATACAACACTGGTTGATGACCTACCTCTGTGACATTGGTAGATATAACAACTAGTAGCACTGGTTGATGACCTACCTCTGTATGACATTGGTAGATCTATATAATACTGGTTGATGACATACCTCTGTATGACATTGGTAGATATAATACTGGTTAATGACCTACCTCTCTATGACATTGGTAGATATAATACTGGTTGATGCCCTACCTCTGTGTGACATGCGTAGATACAAGACTGATTGATGACCTACCTCTGTATGACATTGGTAGATATAACACTGATAGATCACCTACCTCTGTATGACACTGGTAGATATAACACTGATAGCACTGGTTGATGATCTTCCCAACTTGACCGATCTTCAGTGCAATGTTCTGTTTGCCGAAACCATCGTTGTAGTGAATCAGTTGTGCAATCGTGTAAAGTGGATGGCGCTGGAAAACTTCCTGAGTTAAAAGAATAACCCAGGAAAACTCTGAATTAATTCGTCAGCTCCACATTTTGATAAGAAGAACACGTAGCAGGGAATCCTGAACACATCATGAATGACAATTAATATTCTGTTACACCTGGTAAGTAAAACACAAGGGGCGGTCGGGTAGCCTAGTGTTTAAAGCGTTCGCTTGTCACGCCGAAGACCCAGGTTTGAATCCCGACATGGGTACAATGTGTGAAGCCCATTTCTGGTGTCCCCCGCCGTGATATTGCTGGAATATTGCTTAAAGCAGCGTAAAACCAAACTCACTCACTCACTCAGCAAAACACAAGTGGACAAAAAAATTATGCCTCTTTAGAATAGCCCAGGATTTTTCTGTTGAAAAAATAAGAATCCAGTGTTCAAATTTCTGAAGTTGGCAGATCACTCAATGTGTGTGTTTGTTGTAGCTTGTTTGCTTAAAGTCACAACTGTAGTAAACACCCATGAAGATGTGGGGTAGAATGGGTCTTCAGCAACCCATGCTTGCTGTAAAGGCAACTATGCTTGTCGACTAACAGGATCGGGTGGTCAGGCTCGCTGGCTTGGTTGATGCATGTCATCGTATCCCAATTGCGTGGATCGATGCTCATGATGTCAATCACTGGATTGTCTTGTACAGAGTCAATTATTTACAGACTGCCTTCATATAGCTAGAATATTGCTGAGTTCAGCATTAAACAACAACAAAAAACAACTCATGTGCCAGTGTCCCACCTGTCTGGAAGTGTCCATCACTTTGATTCCATGTCGAGATACGGTGATCGCCACCTTGTCCTCCTCTGTCACAGACAAGGGCAGCTTACCCTCAATCTAAAAGACGAAAAATGTGCATTATCTGGGTTCGGTGAAATGGGTGTTTAACGCTGCGTTTAAGACTCTAGGATGCTTTGCTAAATGATCAAAAGGTGTCGACTGTACTTTATCCCGCAATAAAGTACACTTTTTGAGTTACGTCAGAATGGACCAAAGTCAAGGTGCTGTTCAAGTCTTCTACCCTGTGATCTAACGTACCCTTGGAAACATTTTTTTCATTTCCGTCAAGCAAGATTTCGGTTAAATAGTTTCCCTAAACTTGTCGAATATTTGAATATTATTATAGGAAGATGATGTTAATTCTCTCTCATGCTGCAGGCTTATCATAAACATAATTCAACCTTTGCATTTGTGCCACAAGTCACAAAATCGTCTGAGGCGAGCACTGGTGCCTCCGAATTAGGTCTGTCTCTGGACAAAGGAATGGGTCAACTGCAGACTACTCATAATGAGTGAGTATGGTTTTACACCGCTTTTAGCAATATTCCTGCAATATCATGGCGGGGGACACTGATAATGACGGAAAATGAAATATGATGTATTTAAAAAAGAAACTTATTAAAAAAGAGAAAGAAAAATAAGAAAATTATATACTTCCATCAAAGCACACTGACGCAAGCGTCCTCGTGCGTTAACTATAATAGCTCAGGGAAAAACGAGACTTTATTACACTACACATGGGGTTAGAGCTAACTGTCTTTCTTAATTATTACACTTTTTCAGCAATGTGTGTGTGTGTGTGTGTGGTGTGTGTGGTGTGTGTGTATGTGTGCATGAGTGTTTCATAATGCTAGCCCACCAGAGACCATGCCACAGTTTAACATGGATACCCACTCAGACACAGTATACTGACTCTGAGCCTACAGTCTATGTTTTATCCTCTTAATGCCAAGCACCAGGCAGGGTAACAACAAGTAACATCTTTTCGTATGACGTTCGGGATTGAACAACGGACCTTCCGCTCTTTGGGCCGACCCTCAATCCACTAGACCACAGTGGCAGTCTGTGCATTATAAAAAGTAATTATCTTGCCTGGAGCAGTCTCTTTTTTTTCAATAATACCATACAAATAATGTCTCAAATTACCTTAAACAAACAAAATGCAACAGAAAATCTGATTTGAATAAATGTTCAAAACATTGTCCTGAAGTTATTTGGAACACATCAGGAAGAGGAAAGAACTATTTGAAACAGGTATTGTTTCCATACTGCCTGTCTACCCTTCGCCTACCATGTCCCTGAGCCTCATAGCCTCTGCACTTACTTGAGCCTCCTCTACCTGGTCAATGAGCTGAGCCTCTGTGTCCCGCTTCTTGGCGCTTGTCAGGTTCACATTTTGCACCATGCCCATATAGAACAGGTTGAAGTGAACTTTCTGTTTAAGGATCATGTCTACTGTATCCTTCTCCTTGCTTGCTGTTAGATTTTCATTGCTTGAGCCACTCTGGGGGGTTAAAATGTAATTTAGACACTGCAGTTTTAATTTATTTTACATGTGTCGTCTACAATGTTTCATAAGTATGTATTTCTGTAATTTGAATCAAATCATTTATAATCAGATCAGACATACCAGGTAAATAGTTGGACAAAATATCATGTCTGAAATGAAAGTTATTAACACCACAAAACCCCAAGAGGGCCCCTGTCAAACAATCTCACCATATTACCACTCTCCACCGACTCCCTGCTTCCACTGGGCACAGCCCGTTTTTGCTTTGATTTAAACATTTTGATAATTAAGATATCATTCGCACGTTACATTCTTGGTTGAAAACATGTTTCTGGTCAACATGTCAAATACCCCAAAAGAGAATGAACAGTGTAACGTAGACTTCTACATCTAGGCAGTCATAAAGTTTAGCGCATAATACATTGCGCATACTGGCAAGAGCCCCAGTTGAATTTTACAAGCCACGCCCAAACTATTTACCTAAGAACATCTTTCATGGAAATGACTTCACAGTGTTACGGACATTTATTAGAATATTTTCAAAATAATAATTTGCAAAAGCCAAAAGCATATCCATACCATCATGGACTTTTGACTAACTATATGATTCGCGATAACATATAAAGATTATTGGTTATAGAAAACAGTTTTATTTGAATCAAGTTGGGGACAAGTGATACTTGTACAAATATTTGCCCTTAACTGGGCCTGTCAGGCAGAACTATATACAGAAGATATATACCCACTATTAGTACCTATAATAAAAAAAAGTCCAATATAGATAACACAACTAATGTCATTCTTTATCATGCTTTGGCAGAAAATATCAATAATTCTGGTCAGATTGTTGGCTGGGTTAAATAAAACAAACATTTGAAAGAGTAAACACAAATAAATGTCATGAATCCACTGTAAATAAACTCCTGTCCAAACGTAAAAATATGTTCACGCATTCACTAAGGGATTCCCATTTTATCTAACAGCAAGTTCGGAGCATGCAGGTTGGTCAAGTCATCTATAAATATTGAGAATAATCTAACATATTGTAAAAGCAAAGCTCGTGGGTCAAATTTCTCAAAATTTCGTTTGAGTAATCACAAACTAAAAATTGAAATTGGTAGATATAAAAAAACCCACCAACTTCAGTGGCACAACGTCTCTGTGAAACATGTGATGTCTCAGAAGATGAGCCACACTATGCACTGTCTTGCACAAACTACCAAGAAAGGGAATCACAAATAATACTCAATCATGATAAAGAATTTGGTACACTCTGTTAAAAAGAACAGTTCTTTATAATTTTACCAACAGTTATCCAGAAACAACTCCCAAGATGTACGTGTTATCATATCAACAATTATAAATAAATTCCTTGCATGTACAACAATGCCATAGTTTTGCTCAATTCCCATATTGTTTCCGCATCATTATAATACACTTGTTTTAAAATAAAATTGTTATATTTGTTAATTGTTATTGTGCATATATTTTGTAGTTTGTGATAGTGTAATATTGCCACTGTTTCTTTATGGAATGTTACGCAATACACATTTTATCTAAAAAATCTTTGTTGCACGATAGTTTGTTACAGTTGTGTACGGGGGCACGGTTGGCCCAATCGCTTAAGGCGCTGTAATTCGCTATGCAGAGTTGTGTCCCTTGGGCACGCCAGAAACCTATGACAGTGTGTTTGAATCCTGGTTCGCCCCGATTATGTTGTCAGCACTATACCCGTGCTCGTGGTTTTCAACAAAGTGGTGAACGTCTAAGACCAACATCACTTCGGGATTTCCTCCCACAGCAAGCTGACACGCCTTGATATAAGTTGAATAATATTGAAAACGGCGTCAAACCCAAATCCCTCACTCACTCTTGTGTACGGTTCACTCTTGGTTTATTGGGTTTGTCTTGTGATTACTTCGGGTTTAGATTTGAAGTTTGTATAGAAGAATGTTATTATGTTCAACCCAAACATCGTGAATATACCATGCAACCGCATTATGTTTCAGGAAAGTAATTGCAAATTACAGATCAACCTGTTTTATCCAGAAGAAAAGAACATATACGGGTGTATAATCTCTGCCGGAAGTTAAAAAAACTGTCAAGGCAATAAACCATGCAGAACCGTAAACCGCCGTATGAAACGATATGAATCATACATTACATACAGTGAACTACTTGAAACAATACTGTGCTCAACTATGCATAGCAAGCGCCATACATGTGATTATGAAGACAAATAATTAAAAAATTCTCACATCAAACCCGTTGTTTGAGAAGTGTTGTTGACGCGTGAAGATCCGGGGTAGAATAGGTCTTCAGCAACCCATGCCTGTCGTAAAAGGCGACTTTGCTTGTCATAAAAGGCGACTAACGGGATCGGGTGGTCAGACTCGCTGGCTTGGTTGATGCATGTCATCGTATACCAATTGCGTGGATCGCTGCTCATGATGTCAATCACTGGATTGTCTGGTCCAGACTCGATTATTTACAGACCGCCGTCATATAGCTGGAATATTGCTGAATGCGGCGTTAAACAACAAACAAACCAAACATGTGTTGTTTACTGAACAGAGTCATACTTTATAGAAGCCTGGTAGTTAATCGTGTTGAACAATAAGTTGCAATAGCAGTGTGAAGGGAGAAGGATTGAGTGCGCGTTACAGGCTTGACCTGAATTCCTCCCTGGAACCGTTCTCGCTGGCTGCCTGAATAATGTATGATACAAAGGTTGTGCGCAATAGAGCTATTCGGGTAAGGGAGATAATCACCCACTCTCAGTGATACAGTTTTAATAAGATACGATGTACAGCATTGCAAGGTCAGTGCGTGATAAAGCTCTATACTACGCCTATAGCTAAAGGAGATAATCGCTCAGAGCGCAATAGTTTATTCTTACAAAATATAGACCGGTTAACTTTAGCGAAAGGAGACATATATTTCCCCTAAACATTGTTAGCTCTTTTAAAAATAAAATGAACAAATAGATTATCTACATTACGAAACGTGACTAAGTCACAGAATATGGTTAAAAAATGTCCAGATTAAGTCAAACTCATTTCATTTTCAAAACTAAATTTGCTTCAGGGAAACCAAATTGGCGCTCTCCTTGAGTAAAAAATAAACTAATCCTTAAACTTCCCCGCCTTCAGGGCGGGGAAGAATGAATATTCAATGTGAGCAGGATATGTACAGAGGATGCATATTAGATGTTGTTATTACAATGTAATACCTTCCAGTAGAGTCCACTGTTGCTTTAACCAATCTCATCAATTTACTTTGATTTCTGTACTGACCAGTGTACCAATCTGTTGTGAAAACATGAATACACTTTTATCCTAATGATACTGTTACAATGCCTAAGTGCGTGAAAACAGTTAGAAAACACAGCATGCTTTTGATAATATATGTGATAGGGGTGCCCAGAATTAGTGCAAAATTAAGATATGTGTGCATATGGTGTTATGAACTGTTATACAATGTATATAATACAATTACTGTGACACAATACTTGAGTTTGTCTTCTTTATTATTATCTTAGGGCGTGTGTCAAGTTGATTTAAAAAAACAAACCAAACTCTTGTCTTGGGTTAAAATGGGTTGGAAAATATTATTCGAGTACTTGTAAGTCATTACTCATGAGTATTCGTATAAGAAGCCATTTTCAATTGAGGAGAGTCGATTGTTTTGCATTTGGCAATGTTTCTCATCGTTGAAATGGTGCCGCCTTTAAAAGACAACTGTATGCCACAAAGTGAACATGACCGTACCTTGGGTGTGTTTTGATCCGACGTATCACGTTGTCTCTCGAAGAGGAGGTAGCTCTCCCGAGTACTCTAGTACTAGTTTACGGTTTCACCCCTACGCCTGTCAAAAGCATATTTGCTGCGTGAGAGCAAAACATTTTACCTTGACCTATCAAAATGTACTGATATGCAACCTCACTTTGGAAAGAAAATGAAACGAATAAATTAGTTGTGACCTATTCTAAATGCAAATGTAATACAAAGTCCCAATATCGTAAAAAAAAACCAATTTGATTTCTTTGCGACTTTTAAAGAATAAACATTGAAATTCTTAATTAAAATGGCTTGATCGCCAACTGCTGAGTGCAGTCGGTGTCTCAATATTTTATTGACGAACAAAACTGATTCCAAACTCGTCCTATCATAGGCATCAATCAGTACCTCATCTAAAATGTCTCGTTAGGGAACTAGTATGTAAAAAAACTTTCTCAATGACTATATATATTCAGAATTTATGTTATCAATTTTCACACACCGGCGTTTGTTCTTTATTACCAAATCCCCATATTTCTTGTTAAATACAAATGTTTCGTTTGCAAAAATATTTAGTTGTAGAATCACAATGCATTGCGACGCGCGCGGCCATTTTGAGAATATAACTTCCGTTCTAGATTACGTTGGATGTTATCGAAAGTAAAATTGTTTTATTGTATACAAATAAACACTAAATAAGCAATGGGGTGCGAAGACGATGTGCTCAGGGTTGGGAAAAAACTCGAGAAAATGATTTCAAACGATACATCGGTAAGTGCACTGTGTAGAATGCGTTTATTGTTTAATTTTCATGTCTTCGATGGAGAACATCACGACATGACAAACTGCAAAGACTTCTCACGTCTGCACTGATATAAATTGATTAAAAATAACAAAGCGTCAAATTTAAGTAGTGCAAAATCTGTGCATACGCTTTATTATAATAGTGTCAGTTTCAGGGTTAAACTGTTCGCAAGAGGAGTTATGATATGTGAAACCGGGCACATGCTAGTGCCAACTGTTTACATTTTTCACCCGGCGCGCCATTCACCGAACCCGATATATCATTTATTCATGACATAAGATTGATTATGCGGTTCACACAAACAAGGTAGCCGTGTTTTCAGTAGAAGTAACTGCTAAAGCCATGAAGCATACGTTGTTGTATGCCAGTGACAGTCCGTCATTGGGATCGAGATAGTGTTAAATTTGAAATGTTTGCAGTTGTCTGAATAAGGAACATATTCAGATTGACCAATCAGATTTTATGGTCACTTCCCTTAGTATCGTTGGACAATATTCAAATAGCAAGGCTTAAGAGAAATTTTGGTTGGTAGTCTATTGCAAATACATTTGAGTCTTGTATTTTGGAGGGGCGGTCTGGTAGCCTAGTGGTTAAAGCGTTCGCTCGTCACGCCGAAGACCCGGGTTCGATTCCCGACATGGGCACAATGTGTGAAGCCCATTTCTGGTGTCCCCCGCTGTGATATTGCTGGAATATTGCTAAAAGCAGCGTAAAACCATACTCACTCACTCACTCACTCACTTGTATTTTGGCATTATCAGTTAATTTCTCGTATGTTGACTGATTTTCATCCAAATTAACCTAAAGATAATTGTCAAATTTGATAATGATATAAAAGGATGTCCTATCCAAATTGGCACAAAATTATGAAAATATACAAATGGCATTTTTTTAAAGCAAAATCACTGAGATTTTAGTCTCAGTTTTTATAAGCTGATCATATTCTAGGTATCAAATCAATGAAAGTAAACTTAATTTACACGAGAAACAAGAATTATATTTGAGAAAGAATTATAATTGGCTACATTGACTGCTTAAGTAATAACAATACTAATCATCATGGTTTCTTTCAGAATAATTGTATAATTTTGCATTATTATGTTTATTAGGTATATGTAGATTACTAATAATGCATCAACTGAAGTCCTACCCCAACATGTCCATAACAGCACGGCGTAACAGCCTTAGAAATTCATTTATATTAAAACTAGTCCAGATGACTGTCTATTTTACTATCAATACATAAATGAATGCAAATACAAAATGGGCACAATATGTGGCATGCTTGTAAAAAAATATTTCATACTTTTTTTCCAGGATCATGTGACTGCTCTGGATTTGTTAAAGACACTTCGAGACTTGCCCATGACTTTGGACGTTTTGCAGGTAGGGTACAACATGTACATAGGGACAATGCTCATAAGCATGATATTTTTGATAATTATGAGATTTTTCAACCCCACCAACCTCACAATAGAACACCCCAACCTGCCTCGCATCATTTTATTGTCCCCAAGTACTTGCAGACACAATCACATTAAAATCAGATGTTTCCCTCTGATACGATACCTCCCTGAGGACACCTGCATTGGAGGCATCAGGTGAACTTTCTGATGAGCCGTTCAGTGTAGAGGCTTTTAAATTCTTGGTATGAATGAATGAAGTATTCAGACCAGCATATCTGACTTTTGTTTAGCTAAGGGTTCCCCTGATGCAATTTTCTTTGGAGGTGGCCTTTAGTCACTTTAGATCTCCACACACAGAGGCATAGATTTGGAGTAGTATATCTGATTTTGATGATATTGCTACAGAATACACATGCTAAAACAATCAGTACAAGTGTTCCTTTCTGTCTTTCCTTGATGGAATACACTATATACATAGTTCAATGAAACATTTAATGATTTATACTTCAGTTGAATCCCATTTAAAAGAAAGAATAAGAATTGGAAATTGGGATGACGGTTAAGTAATTAAATTTTCGAGGCCTAATTGTTATTCTGAGAACTAATTTGGGCAAAGACATTGACATATACCCACATTATCATAAGCAAGCATTGTCACTGAATATCAGTTAATAATGAAATGGATAATTAATCTTGGTAGACCCATAACTATGCAGTTGTTCTATATATTCTATGAGATTGATAATGATGAAAACCTGTTTGCAGAAAACCAGAATAGGGATGATTGTGAACAACTTCAGGAAGGCAACCTCAAATGACGAAGTTGTTTCACTAGCAAAGACGCTCATAAAGAACTGGAAGAAGCTGTTGCCAGGTTGGTTTCTGATGATGCTACTGCTAGCGACACTAACCCTGAATATAGGGTTAAAATATATCCCCAGATACCTTTGCAGGTTGTTTAGGCAACCAAATGGATTGGGTAATCAGGCTCGGTGACTTGGCTGATAGCATGTCATCCTACCGTGAGCGAGTGGATTGTTGCTCACAATATCAATCACTGATTTGTCTGGTTTAGACTCAATTTACTGATTGCCTTACTGTGAAGTGCAGCGGTAAACAACAAACAAACAAGCAGAGATGATCAAATCCTTTTCATTTGGGTTCATGGATGTAATAGTGGCCCAGGTTGCCTTGCAGTGCATCCCCGGCCATGTTTTCTGTCTGTGATCATGGGTTCATCAGCACCATACCTGTGCTCAATGGTTTCATAATGTCCAAGACCTGCATAATTTCACGTGTTAATTAAGCTGACATGTCATGATATAACTGAAATACTGTTCAAAGCAGTTTGAAAACAAAATTGAAATGCTATCTTACATAATTCTTCAGGATGTTAGAGCCCATGTTTATTTAATTTTATCACTTACTATTTTATAACTTCTGTTGTTATCCCCAAGAACTAATGTATGGATGTCGTAGGTCATTGCCTGATGTTTGTCCCAAACCCACTCATATTCATCTTCCTGAGGCAAGGGCGTTTTAACTAACTATAAAAGTCCAGTTTCCACCCTTGCTGAACTTGGCTGAAATTTCCAGACTCGATCGTAACGCCACGAGTCGTTATTACGAGTAATGTCCCTTCTATATCCCTCCTGGGGCGGTCGGGTAGCCTAGTGGTTAAAGCGTTCGCTCGTCACGCAGAAGACCCGGGTTCGATTCCCGACATGGGTACAATGTGTGAGGCCCATTTCTGGTGTCCCCCGCCGTGATATTGCTGGAATATTGCTAAAAGCGGCGTAAAACCATACTCACTCACTCACTCTATATCCCTCCTATTGACCCATCAGATTCCACGTCTCATATCACTTGCATTTGCTTCAAGCAAAATGGCAGTGCCCAGTGAAGACAATCTGATCAATAATCAAGATCTATATTGCAATAAAAAGGTTCTTGCGACGCCAAGTGCATCACATCACCTGAGCACCTTGATTAAAAACATGAAAAGATTTGCAAAATATCTGTCAACGCCCAGTTGGCTGAACACTTGCTTTGCAAATCCTGCAGTTGACCGATATCTGCACATTGAAATCCATGTTGTTTACAAACCCTATAGTTCGTTTTGCGATTATGATTGGACTATGCATAGACTCGTTAGTTCAACCAAAATGTGACTCAGGAATTCCAGTCTTGTTCGGCAAGGGTGGAAACTGGACATTTATAGTCAGTTAACACCCTTGCCTCGGGAAGGTGACTCATATCAAACCAACCACAACCAAGGAAGGACGTAGTCAGTAAGTTGATGCAATAGTAAGAAAGATAAAATATGTAATAGCTCACTTTTGAACATGTTGAAAACAATTTTTGGATGCAAATATATTTTCTAAATTGTAACCACAGCATAACACGTTGCCTTACAGAAACCAACCAAGGCAGTGACAAGAAGTCCAACAGCAGTAGTGCCACCAAGATGGACGAGTCCTCGAACGATGGCTTTGACAACTCCCAGTCCTCCCAGAGCAGCACCAGTCTACGGGAGAGCAGCTCATCTGGGTCCGGGCTTAACTATACCAACGATCCTGTCCGCCTCAAGTGTCGGGAATTGCTGCAGAATGCACTCAAACTACCAGGTGAGGCATAACATAGGTGCTCTCAAACTACCTGGTGAGGCATAACATAGGTGCTCTCAAACTACCTGGTGAGGCACTTTATGGGTGAACTTAAACTAGCAGGTTAGACATATGAGTGCACTAAAACTACCAGGTACAGAACGTTATGGGTGCATTCAAAAGACCATGTGGGATGCCATATGAATGTGTTCCAGGTACCAGATGTGGCACTTTATGGGTGCACTAAAACCAGGTGAGGCATTTTTATAGGTGCACTTGAACTACCAGATGAGTTAATTTATGGGTGAACTAAAACCATGAAAACTAGCAGGTGAGACACTATATGGATGTGCTCCAGTTACTGGGTGGGGCACTTTGTGGGTGCACTAAAACTACAAAGTGAGATAATTTATGAGTGCACTCACACTACCAGGTGGGTCACTATATGGATGTGTTCCAGCTACCAGGTGGGGCACTATTTGGGTGCTTTCAAACAAACAGGAGACATTTCATAGATGTGCTCAAACATTCCAGGTGAGGCACTTTATGGGTGAGGTACTGAAGTTTATGTGTAATTAAACCCTAACAGCAGGAATAATTGGTCACACTATCAATTAAGCATTATTTTGTCATGTCCAGCCTTCTGACTGTGATATAGCTGTAATCGGTTTTACTATGGAGTAAAAACAAGTCACTCACTTACGATTATTATTACATCATTTTTATTTCTATTGCAGAAAACACTGAAGGAATGGAGGATGCTATGGATGGGGCAGTGTTGGCAGAAGAGATTGAAGATGGTATCCTTCCAATATACTGAGCCTGACATGACAAGACTCTTTAGAGTTACGCTGCATTTTTCGCAGATACTGGTATATTGATTTCCAATTTTTACAAGGTATAGATTTGTTTGATTTGGCTAACATTTTGCTTCAAACTGGATGGTAGGTCATACGTAGCAATTTTTGATTTCCCTTCATTTTCAAAGGCAAGTTCTACAATTGTCAGCAGTAAAAAGTCATTCAGCAGACTATGGAGGCGTCTGCATATTTTCAGGGATCAATTTAGCTAGGCTTAGGCTTGAGTTTATCACACTGTGGGTACTTCAAGGTTAGGTGCAGGTTTCTATTACATTTCACACCAATGTGTCTGTAGTTTATGTGACCATGGCTGCTAATCGGCCTGTGTGTTAATTTTGATAAATTTATGAACCTTGGGTGCACCCAGGCTCTGCTTGGTACAACTTGATTTTCATGTCAACAGGCAACTCGTGCATGTTCCTAAAATCGAGCGGGGGCACAGGTGGCCCAGTTGTCTGAGGCGCCGCCATTCGCTGTGCAGAGTTGCGTCCCTTGGGCACGCCAGAAACCTATGATTGTGGGTTCGAATCCAAGTTAGCCCCGATTATGTTTCTAGGTTTGTCAGCACCATACCCATGCTCGTGAGTTTCACCGAAGTGGTAAATGTCTGAGACCTGCATCACTTCGGGCTTTCCTCCCACATTAAGCTGACACGCCATGATTTAACTGGAATACTGTTAAAAGCAGCGTTAAACCAAACTCACACACTCACTGAAATCAAGCCCTGATTTTCTTCTGAATCCTTTTGTATTTTGAGGGAATGCTTCTTGCAATAAGTTATGTTGATACTAATGCTGTAACAGAATTCAACCAGGGGTGTTGTGTGTGAAATTAAGGAAGAAGAAAAAATGAATGATATTATGTTCTCATTTACTTTTTCTTTGTTTGGTCTCAAAGAGGCATTTTTTGTTTAAAGGTTTGCTTGATGATTTTTAATTAGATCGGGTGTCTTTGAAAAATGATGTCCAATGAATTATCAACTTTAGGTTTCTTTATTGTCCTTAACTCTGCTTAGCTGTGTATTGTGAGTTTGCTAATACAGATTCCAAGTATAAGACAAGAATTCGGAGCCGAGTTGCCAATCTGAGAGACACCAAGAATCCTAGTTTGAGGGAGAACGTGCTGCTAGGTCACATCACACCCATTCAGCTGGCCAAAATGACAGCAGAGGTAATAGACTTGTGTTCAGCAGTGCATTTGTACATAAATTCTGTATCTTCCATAAGTCACTGCCCTAAATCTGTTGTAGGGCATTAGTGTTGTGACTCATTAAAATCAGATGTTTTGCTCCAACATGATTCCTCTCTGCATGAAGATCTGAGGACTACTGTAAACTTTCCACTCATCTTCTATATTCTCGGTACAAGTGAGTGAAGCATGCAGACAAGCACATCTGATTTCTGTATCTCGCGAAATCGGAGGTTCCGAATGCAAAAAATATTGCTGTGCTATTATATTGTTATGGATACATGTATTTTATACCTCCAATGATTTCTGAGCACCATGGCATCTTAACCTAAACGGATGTCCTATTGAGGATGTTCAATAGTGGTTTTCTTTTGCTGCAATCAAACTTTTTGAATTGGGGCAGTTAAGAATTGAAGCTGAATCGTTTGGTGGTCTTTGCTCACATCAATCACTGGGTTTCCTGGTCCAGACTTGATTATGTATAGGCTGCTATCATATAGCTGCAATATTGCAATATGTCATAGGTACGTAAGGCCTGGAACATATCACTATACCTAGATCCTTTGTGTATTCTAGGAAATGGCAAGCAATGAGATGAAGAATTTGCGTACAAAGTTTACCAAAGAGGCCATTGATGATCATCAGTTGGCCAAGACAAGCGGCACAGTGACGGATCTACTCAAGTGCGGCAAGTGTGGGAAGAAGAGTGTCACATACAACCAGGTACATAACATATATCCCCAGTCTTCATTCAAATGCGGGCAGTAGGGTAGGCTAGTGGTTAAAGCATTTGCTCGTCATGCTTTGGCTCCCGACAGGCTTTGACTCCCCACAGGTTTTGGCTCCCCACAGGCTTTGACTCCCCACAGGCTTTGACTCCCCACAGGCTTTGACTCCCCACTGGCTTTGACTCCCCACAGGTTTTGGCTCCCACAGGCTTTGACTCCCCACAGGCTTTGACTCCCCACAGGCTTTGACTCCCACAGGCTTTGACTCCCCACAGGCTTTGGCTCCCCACAGGTTTTGGCTCCCACAGGCTTTGACTCTTCACAGGCTTTGGCTCTTCACAGGCTTTGGCTCCCCCCAGGCTATGGCTCCCCACAGGCTTTGACTCCCCACAGGTTTTGGCTCCCACAGGCTTTGACTCTTCACAGGCTTTGGCTCTCCACAGGTTTTGGCTCCCACAGGCTTTGACTCTTCACAGGCTTTGGCTCTCCACAGGCTTTGACTCTTCACAGGCTTTGACTCTTCACAGGCTTTGGCTCCCCCCAGGCTATGGCTCCCCACAGGCTTTGACTCCCCACAGGCTTTGACTCCCCACAGGTTTTGGCTCCCACAGGCTTTGACTCTTCACAGGCTTTGACTCTTCACAGGCTTTGGCTCCCCCCAGGCTATGGCTCCCCACAGGCTTTGACTCCCCACAGGTTTTGACTCCCCACAGGTTTTGGCTCTCCACAGGCTTTGACTCTTCACAGGCTTTGACTCTTCACAGGCTTTGACTCTTCACAGGCTTTGACTCCCCACAGGTTTTGACTCCCCACAGGTTTTGGCTCTCCACAGGCTTTGACTCTTCACAGGCTTTGACTCTTCACAGGCTTTGACTCTTCACAGGCTTTGACTCCCCACAGGTTTTGACTCCCCACAGGTTTTGGCTCTCCACAGGCTTTGACTCTTCACAGGCTTTGACTCTTCACAGGCTTTGACTCCTCACAGGCTTTGACTCTTCACAGGCTTTGGCTCTCCACAGGCTTTGACTCTTCACAGGCTTTGACTCTCCACAGGCTTTGACTCTTCACAGGCTTTGACTCCTCACAGGCTTTGGCTCCCACAGGCTTTGACTCCCCACAGGTTTTGGCTCCCACAGGCTTTGACTCTTCACAGGCTTTGGCTCTCCACAGGCTTTGACTCTTCACAGTCTTTGACTCCCTATAGGCTTTGACCCCACAGGCTTTGGCTCCCACAGGCTTTGACTCTTCACAGTCTTTGACTCCCCATAGGCTTTGACCCCACAGGCTTTGGCTCCCATGGGCTTTGACTCCCCAAGGCTTTGACTCCCCACAGGCTTTGGCTCCCCCCAGGCTTTGGCTCCCCCCAGGCTTTGACCCCACAGGCTTTGCCTCCCCGCATCGGTACTATGTGTGAAGCCATTTCTGCCATGATATTATTGGAATGTTGCTAAAAGCCGCGTAAGACTATACTAACTCATTCATTCTAGTTGCTAATTCTTTTGGCCCAAGTGGCAAAATTTGGGGTCATTAAACAAAACCAGGGCCATTTTCATAAAGAAGCCATGGAAACAAGCACAGACACTTTTTAGAACAAACGGTCGCTCTGAGATAATACTAGGCAAAGTGCCATAGATTTGCTCTTGTACATTCTATTCAGCTCACAGACTTTCAATTTTGTCTTCTGATTCTGTTGAGTATGATCTAGTGGAATTGCATTATTCAGGAGTGTGGAAACACAAATCCCAACATTTGTTACCCAGTATGAAAAAATGTAACTATTTTGGGTTGATGCACAAGGGTATAACATTTCTGGATTAATGTATTGTGGGGACAGAGTCCATTTATTTGTTAGAATAAGCTGCAGTTTTTTAATGAGGGACTGAAGAGTTTAGTCAGAGGCTGCAGCTTCTAAGGTCAGTGGGTCCTGATGAAACCTGGCAAATTGTTTTGTTTCAAACACTGGAGGGAGGTATGTATGTCTTTCAATGACATCCTGTTCACATGAATTACCTGGTGCCTCCCTGTTGTGATACACATAGAATATTAAATACGAAAATCAGTCACATTCTCATGCACGTGATATTAAGTGAGTAGTTCAACACATGTAAGAACTTTTCCTCATCTGTCCATTCTGGGGTATTTCACAAGAAAACTTTGATTTTCTTATCCATGCTTTAATCAGCCATTGTGTGCTTTTAGATGTTTAATCATGGAAGTAAGAATGGCAGGTATGTTTTGTACTATGTTGGTATAATGAGATACATGTGTTGCTATCATTGTGTACAGACTTCACAAGCTGAATGGACTACACCATGACATTGAATGTAACTCATAATTTCCTATCTTGTCAAATCAAGGGAGTTAACTGACTATAACAGTTGCCGAACTAGGCTGGATTTATGGAGTTACATTTTGGCTGGACCCTATGAGTCAATGCATAGTCCAATTAAAATCGCGCAACTAAAGCGACGTCCTGTTCATCAACTGCCTTGCAGGTTTCAGTTGATTGCAGGATTTGTAAAGCATGTGTACTGCCAACTCGGCTTCAATAGATATTTTCCAAATCCTTTCATGTTTCTAATCAAGGTGCTCACATGATTTATTACAATATAGATCTTGATTATCGATCTGATTGTCTTGACTGGGCACCGCCATTTTGTTTGAAGCAAATGCAGGTGATTTTGAATTGGAATCTGACCGGTCAGTTGGAGGGACAATACTTGTTATAGCCACTGGTGGCGCTACGATCGAGCCTAGAAATTCCAGCCTAGTTTGGCAGGGGTGGAAACTGGACTTTTACAGTCAGTTAACTCCCTTGCCTCGGGAAGATGGTAGTTTCCTGTACACCCTTCTAGTGATACTTGTAATAAATCTATCATGATAAGTTCACAAGTACACTTATTTTCAGTGAAATATGTTTAGAGACAATATCAGATCTGTCGTACGACCACTAGTGGGTTTGGTATTGTAAGTCAAATGTGAATGGGGTCAGTTGATGTGACAAGGAGATGATGTTATTTGAAACACTATGACATCATGATGTCAGTGCAGGCCTGCTGACCGATTTGTATTGGTTGGTACAGTTGGCCAGTCATATAGCTGGAGTTTATTACAAGTAATGATAACAATATTTACACTTAATGGCCTTTTCCCTTTGCTACAGGTGCAAACAAGAAGCGCTGATGAACCAATGACAACCTTCTGCTACTGCAACGAGTGCGGTCATAGATGGAAGGTATGTAGCCACAGAATATGTAATCTGTATCATAGCTACTTTAAGGTTGACTTGTTGGATAGATGGGTATACATTAGGTCAGATATTCAACATAACAGTCTGATACAATACGGTCAGGTAGCCTTAGTTGTGAGCCATCAACCTCCAAACTTTGTAAGGAGAAATATTTCACTTAGCAAGGGTCCAGGTACTGCAGATCCCTTCATGTTCATGACTAATTCTTGTACAGTGTCCATATGCTGCAGGTCCCTTCATGTCCATGACTAAGTCCTCGTAGAGCATCCCTATGCCGCAAGTCCATTCATGTCCTTGTCTAATTCTTGTACAGTGTCCATATGCTGCAGGTCCCTTTATGTCCTTGACTAAGTCCTTGTAGAGTGTCCATATGCTGATGGTCCCTTCAGTTATTTTCACAACACATTGTAATTGCTTTATTTCTGTTTTTCCAGTTTTGCTAACACCATTTGCCTCGAAGACAGATACTACCTGCAGTTGTGGAAGATTTTTACAGGACTTGTCGATACTGGCTTCACAAGTGTTTTCAGACTAGTTACATTGTTCTTTGTGCTTGTCTTTGTATTGAAACATGATGATCAGGCTGAAAATAGGCACACTTCGGAAAACAGTTTCGTGTACAGAATCAAAACAGGGACATACCTAGAAGGATCATGAGGCAGATCAGGAAGCTGAGGACTTTTTCCCGAGATGACCAATCAGTGCAAGAAAAGGCAGCAACTGTCTTGTAGCACTATAGTATTAAGCACTAACCATGCAGCAAATCACTTGCAGGGATTTATCTAGGCCTGTTGAGAGACCAATATTAAACCCCAAGTCAGCAGCAAATGTCAGTAAAAATGCCCAAATTGGAATGAATAACCTACCCAATTCATGTTGACATAGGTATAACTACTGTTAAACCGTAAAGAGACTTGTGCTACAGTGATAATGTGGTCAATAAGCATGATAAAAAGGAAGAGGCTTTATTGCTGAGGTTGATATTGCCACACTGAACACAATGCTGAGAATACAAGTTAAAATACCTCTAAATTTAAGAAAATAGTTACTATAAAGATTCCAATATTGAGGAAAATAAAAGAAATTGCAGTTTGCCTGCCAAAGGATCTTTGTTTGGAATTCTAAATAAATCCCTGCATGAAAAGATTACCCTGTGGTAATCACATAGGGATACTTGTCTCAGATGGTCTTATAAATGGGCCCCCACCTGCATGATGCTTTGTTCATTGAGTAATTCATCTCGGTTCATTTCTAGTATCCCAGATTAACTCTGCTATTGATTGTTTTGTCGGCACCTGTGCTCGCTGGTTTCGCCATTGTGGTACACTTCTAGAAACTGCATCACTTGGGCATTTCTCCCACATTTAGCTGACATGCCTAAAAAAGGAAATAGTGTTGATAGGGGTATTAATCCAGCATCTACCAATGTTGTTTTCATATACCATTTGGCAGAGGTGATGAGGATGAAGAATATTCAGAGCCCTGTGTATTGGAAGAAACCTGTTATAAACAGTGTTTTATGTACTTGACCTTCCTCTGTCACCATCCATGATAAAAGGGGACATGGGTGTCCCTGTCATCTATGGCCACCACAATTCGCTGTGCAGAGTTGTGTCACCACCTGCTAGATACTTGTTATTGTGGGTTGGAATCCAAGTTCGCCCTGAATAATGTTACTGGGTTTGTCAGCACTTTACTGTGCTTGGGGTGTTAACCAAAAATTGTTCACTGCAAGATATATTTTCCAGGAAACAGGTAATCAAAATCATCTTAGTTTCAAAGTTTTTCAGCTATTCAAACTCAAAGAATATTTCATGTACGAAGGCCTATTGGTCATATACAGGTATATATTTGGGTTACAAATTGTTTTCAATGATTCATTGGTTTCCTCCAACTAAAGATGGCAAACAGTTTGGTGTTTGGTGCATGGTTAGCTAATTGACTGTTCATGTGTATGACTATTCAATATTGTGATAAGCTTGTCTTGAATTTATGCTTAGTTTATCTTTGAACCAATAGTTTACATTAGAGCTTGCCTGATCTGCAAACACTGCAGCATCAATGAAACTTTGTACTTGCATGGAAAATGAGCAGGGCTGCACTCCACATAGGATGTGTCTACACCTATGTCTTGAGAGTTCAGGGCTGCACTCCCATACAGGATACGTGTGCTAAAACTGCCATCTTAAGTATTTAAAAGAGTGAATGTTCCACAGTTGCCTGTCTGGCATCATTGTGCAGTCTAATGCTAGAATGCAACAATTGTAATTTATTTGCATTGACACTTTCTCAGCTACAAAGTGTCGTCATTCCATCTAGACAAGGACATGTATTGATGCTGAAAATAATTCCTGCTTTAGCCTATGTTCTAGAATGAGTGATGTAGCTGGTATTTGTCATTTCTCCAATGATGTTGATCGATGCCCATACTATCAACCATTTGTCGGGTCTGATTATTTACCGGCTGCAGTGATATGATATGTACTATCTTGTATGAGTGTAAAACGTCATTCACTCACTCATTTATTTCAAGTGTAATACTGAATTGCTAAGGGAAATCTCAGTTTTTGATTGGTCTTGTCCCATCCATGTGTTCTCAATCTGCAGTCATCATCACCTTCAGTGTACAAAGATCATTGGTGGTGTTCTACTGTGCATCCAGTTGTAAATAAACAGTGGATTAAGATGAATCTGTTGTTTGGATCTTTTTTCATTAACTTGTGCTCCATATCATCCTAAAGCTGACAAGACCGCCCTCTAGGTAGAGTGTTTGCCTGGAGAGGGGAAGGTTCGATCCAGCTTAAGACCAAAATACGTTGACAGATGTTACTTCTTGTCACCCAGTCTGGCTCTCGGCATTGAGGTGAGGGGGGATAAAACAAGGACTGGTTGGCTCAGAGTCAGTATACTGTGTCTGAGAGGGGTATTCATGGTTCAGAGTGGCATGGTATATTCATGGGCTAGCACTAGAAATCGGAATAAGTTTCACACACACGCACGCACGCACGCAAGTTGAACCTCACCTCTTAAAGTTGAGGGGGCACGGGTGGTCCAGTCGTCTAAGGCCCAGTGATTCGCTGTGCAGTTTTGCGTCCCTTAGGCACGCCAGAAACCTATGATTGTGGGTTCGAATCCCGGTTCGCCCCGATTATGTTTCTAGGTTTGTCAGCACCATACCCGTGCTCGTGGGTTTCACCGAAGTGGTAAACGTCTGAGACCTGCATCACTTCGGGCTTTCCTCCCACATTAAGCTGACACGCCGTGATATGACTGGAATACTGTTAAAAGCGGCGTTAAACCCTACTCACTCACTCACTCGCTCTTAAAGTTGACAAAACTGAAATACTGTTCTAACAAGAAAGAAATGACGTTTTACAGACATGAAAGGTTCGTATTTCTAAGGTCCCTGTCCTGGTCCAATAGGCGATTTATTTGTTTGACGGAGGGACTGTGACTTGATTGATTGCCTGTCAGTGTACCGCCACTTGTTGATCGTTTCTTATAGTATCAATCACTGGATTGTCTGGCCCAGACTTTTGAGTACGGTGTTTAAAAAAAAAAAATATTTCGCAATGACTAAAAGCGATTGGCGACAACTTAAGGCTTCAGTGCACACACTTTTCGTGTGATGCAAAACAAACGAATAGTTCCACGTAGCACAGAGGATGCATTCCTTCGACCACATTTTATTATCTGCAAAACTGGATGTCTACATAAAAGTTATGAATGTCTCTGTACATATTGTCATACACCTTTTATCAACATTCATAAAAATAAAAAGATCACAGATTCTGACAAACATTACCTTAAATTCGCGAATGGTTATATATACACATGCCATAAATAAAGCAACGTAATGTTTCCAGTGTCATACACCAGTGATAAAATTTAACATGACTATATCCTTGTTTCCATGGAAATAACAAAAATCAAACTTACATTAACCGCAAATGACCTGCGATCTATCTCTTCATGAGTTTGTAAAGAAAGAAAATCAACTAATTTATCAAAATCATGTTTTATCATGACTCTTCTTCAATTGATTCCAACTTGCAAGATTTATGAGTTCCTTCATAGCACAAGACAGCACTTTAGACAGGGGTAGTCACTTTAAACATAGACAGGTTTTGCTAACAATTGTCACACCATCCTCGATTGTCCAGTGAAATATATCCTAATATGGTAGAATGGCTAAACAGTATACGGCGCAATCGAGTCTATTCACACACACACAAAATTGACGTTCTCAAATCTGTAGACTAACATATTGTCCTTAGTCTGTGAAAAAAATTATTTTTGATAGAAACAAGCAACTACAGTTAAATTGAAAAGGATCCCCCTTGAAGATCCAGGGTAGAAAAGGTTTTCAGCAACTCATCCTTGCTAACGGGATCGGTGCTCAGGCTCGATGACTTGGTTGATGCATGTCATTGATCCCAATTGCGTGGATCGACGCTCATGACGTCAATCACTGGATTGTCTGGTCCAGACTAAATTATTTACGGACTGCTGTCTTATAGCTGGAATATTGCTGAGTGCGGCTTTAAACAACAAACTAACAAACAGAATCTGAACCAAAAACAATCCTTGACTTGCTTCATCTAGGGTTATAGAACTATATGACTATATAGACTATGTCCCTGAATTAAAGTTACTTATAAGGTTAAGTTGAAAACATTCTACAAGGGATTTAACCCGCTGGCATTAAAAGAACCCTCCAGTCCCTTAATTTCAAGAGCTGAAAAAAGGGGTTAGGAATAGAATGGGGTGAATGTTTTATTGACTATGTGCTCTGGGGTATGTGAGAGAGACTATTTAATCTGTAGCACCTTACACCCTGACCTGGTCCTTAAGCCCTGCATAAATGGGGTCGATAGTCACAATGTTTGGATGGCTGATAGGGTGGCACCCTATAACCTGACCGGTATCCATGCTCATGCTATCAACCACCTGGTTTGCTACAGACTTGATTGCAGGCGGCCACGGCATAGCTGTTATATTGTTGACTTTATACACCACACTCACTCACTCACTCGCTCACATGTAAACTACATGTATATCGATTCACACAAATAGTTGTTATGAGGAAACCTTTGATGGGTTTCCAAATAGAAATATGTCAAAATAAAAGCTGCAAAATTGAGATTTCGAGGTGCTAAGTTTAATGTTTTTTAATAAAAATGTTTTGGTTATTTTTGTATCTCAGTCAATATCACCATTATCTTTAAACTGCAATGCTTGGAATTGGAAATTCAACTAGGCATGTTGAAAAGGTAACATTATTTTAAAAATCTTACATTTTTTTAACAAGTTTCAAGATATATTGGTGAGTAGTCCTTACAGGCTTTCGTGGTGCAGTCATGGCAGTTATGTTGACAAATTTAATTTAATAATGATAATAAATGACTCTGGCACATTAGTCTATCAACGAGTCAGCACGGCCCACACAAACACCTGGTCGTCTTTCTTCACTTCTTGGCGAGAATTGTGTTGGGTGGTGTCACGAGATCGTTATCGACCCTCTTCCAGCGTCACATTCGATGTGAGATCCTTACCAACCTTGTGACTGTCGCTTATAAAACATCCTTCGTAGATATCACCAACTCACTACAAACAGAAAATAAAACCCACATAAAACGACATTATCTAAATCAATATCCAGTAGTCTATGTTTTGTAGGGGGCACGGGTGGCCCAGTCGTCTAGGGCGCCGCGATTCGCTGTGCAGAGTTGCGTCCCCTGGACACGCCAGAAACCTATGATTGTGGGTTCGAATCTCGGTTCACCCTGATTATGTTTCTAGGTTTGTCAGCACCATACCCGTGCTCGTGGGTTTCACCGAAATGGTAAACGTCTGAGACCTGCATCACTTCGGGCTTTCTTCCTACATCAAGCTGACACGCCGCGATATAACTGGAATACTGTTAAAAGCGGCGTTAAACCCAACTCACTCACTCACTCACTATGTTTTGTAGCCGGAGCGTCCGATAACAAGGCATACCGCCTGTGTCTAGAACGCTCTTGCTAAAAGTGAGTAAGTTTGGCCTAACGCCACTTTGAACACTATCACAGTTATATCACGGCGTTTCGGCATAATGTTGAAATAATCCCGAGACCCGTAAAGATCCGGGGTAGAAAAGGTCTTCAGCAACCAATGCTTGCCGTAAAATGCGACTAAATGTAGACTAACATAATGTCCTTAGTCTGTGAAAATATATATTTTTGATAGAAACAAGCAACTACAGTTAAATTGAAAAGGATCCCCAGTGAGGAGGTTCTGAACCTAAACCGACCCGTGAAGATCCAGGGTAGAAAAGGTTTTCAGCAACACATCCCTGCCAACGGGATCGGGTGGTCAGACTCGCTGGCTTGGTTGATGCATGTCATCGTATCCCAATTGCGTGGATAGATGCTCATGATGTCAGTCACTTGATTGTCTGGTCGAGACTCGATTGTTTGCAGACCGCTGGAATATAGCTGGAATATTGCTGAGTGCGGCGTTAAGATACAAACAGACGAACAAACACAAATGCCGAAGTGATGCAGTTTTCGACATCTGCCACGTTATTAAGCCCACAAGCTCGAGTATGGTGCGGCTAAAGTTCATATCTGGTATTCGGACTTATGACCATTAGATCACCGGACGTATGTGCAGAACGAACCGAGTCGCCTTATAAAGAGACGACAGGCCACTTGTCCTCCGAACATACTCTCATGTGCCTTTTATTTACAGAATGTGCATGGTGTGTTGTTTGTGAGATGACCTTTAAAACCTACGCCACTTTGAGCCTTCCTGCCATATAAAGGAAGTCATCGAGCGGTACCTAAAGGCTGGAACACCAAAAGTAACACGTGGCCAAAATACGTCACGGAATTCCCTTTCAGCACGCACAATACGCCTGTGTCATAAGTAGCTATTAGGACTTATATATGTGAAAAACAATTGACAACTAGTACGATTCTGTAGCCTCGTTTGGCCATTAAGCAGCGCTTGGAATGAAAAATCGATGGCTGCCTTAATTCAAGCTGACAAAAACTGTCCAAACCGACGTGAATCCCAGCTCATCCACTCCCGTCCTATGCCGTTACTCACCTGAAGTCGATCTCCCCGTCTCCATCCATGTCCAACTGCTTGATGATCTCCTCCACCTGCAGATCTGACAGGGGTATCCCAGCATCCTGAAGACACAAGTGAGTCAGTGAGTGAGTGAGTGAGTGAGTGAGTTTGGTTTAACGCCGCTTTTAACATTATTCCAGTTATATCACGGCGTGTCAGCTTAATGTGGGAGGAAAGCTCGAAGTGATGCAGGTATCAGACGTTTCACACTTCGGTGAAACCCACGAGCACGGGTATGGTGCTGACAAACCTAGAAACATATACGAGGCGAACCGGGATTCGAACCCTCAAACAATCATAGGTTTCTGGCGTGCCCAAGGGACGCAACTCTGCACAGCGAATCGCGGCGCCTCACACGACTGGGCCGCAAAACTATGCGCCTGAATCTTGTAACAATGTAATGTTTGTGGCAGGCAATTTCCTTTTTTCCAACAGTCTGAAGCATAATTATTTTCAAAAATTCCTTTGATTAGATGTTTTATGAAGACTACATTATTATCATAACAGAGTCGCATGCGCATATGTCTATAGTCCGTTTCAGACATCGCTCATTGGACTCCTGAATTTGCTGTTTTCGATCGAATTGTTCTGTAAATTTGTCGATAGGACTCCTTGTGACTGAAATACTTCAAACCATAGGTAGGCAGAGCGGTAGTTACTCGATATTACAATAGCAACAGTCTGTAAAACATTCTGTCTTGTTTTAACGGGCAATAAGCATTTCCGACTACAATTTTTAACACACAAAATATAGTCAATCAAAACAATTAATAGCAGGTCTACACACACGTCTTAATTCGTCTGAAAAAGGCTTGCCGTGGGTTTCTTAAATACCCTGTAAAATGAATACACAATTAAAAAACCCAACAGGAAAATAACGCAAAACTAGCATAATTACATGTTGGTTGGTTGGTTGGTTTGTGGTTAAACGCCGCACTCAGCAATATTCCAGCTATATGACGGCGGTCTGTAAATAATCAAGTCTGGACCAGACAATCCAGTGATTAATATCATGAGCATCGAATCACGCAATTGGGATCGATGACATGCATCAACCAAGTCAACGATCCTGACCACCCGATCCCGTTAGTCGCATTTTACGACAAGCATAGTCGCCTTTTACGGCAAGCATGGGTTGCTGAAGATCTTTTCTACCCCGGATCTTCACGGGTCCATAATTACATGTATCTGTATTAACCAGAAACCTTTCTTTCACCAAACACAAAGAATTTACTCCGTTTTAGTCCACAGTGACAGTACTAAAAATATATCCATCAATACAAAGATCCGGGGTAGAGTAGGTCTTCAGCTACCCATGCTAGCCGTAAAAGACGACTATGCTTGTCGTAAGAGGTGACCAACGGGATCGGGTGGTCAGACTCGCTGACTTTGTTGATGCATGTCATTGATCCCAATTGCGTGGATCGATGCTCATGATATTAATCACTGGTTCAGACTCGACTATTTACAGACCGCCGTCATGTAGCTGGATTATTGCTGAGTGCGGCGTTAACCAACAAACCAAAATCAATACAACGACGTACCTACACAGACGTGTTCAATTCACTTAGTTCTAGTGTTGTATGTTGTTGAATGACTGGTATTATATTAATTTTGCGCCAAGGTCAAAGCGCTACAAAAAAAGGAAGTAATGTTAATTGGCTTAAGGCAAGCCAAAAGGTCATTACGAGAATTGTCACTTCACTAAAATATATTTCAATCAATTCTACTCAAAATAGGTGCATTAAACGTCTTTTTAACTGAAATTACACATTTGAGCTTAAAATGAACTAATGCTTATTCACAAATTTAATTAATATTTTGCTAAAAATGTGGTTTGAGATGTGTTATGCATTTGCTTCAGATTTTTTAAATCAGCGTGTTACTTTGATAACAGACTCTACTTATACACGAGTTGTGCCCCTTTAATAAGAACGCCCGTCGTGCTTTCAAACACATCACCCAGCTTCCTTTCACATGCATCTGTTGCTTCAAATACAAAGCTTTCAATTTGGAGTGAGTTAGTGAGTTTAATTTTGAGTCACGTGGACAGTAGTTCAGCCATAGTGTGACTAGAACAAGGCATACAATATTTATAATAACTGTCGACGAAGGACAGTTAATAACTAGAAATATATCACAGATTGACTTAAAACTAGTTGTAGAATAATAAAAATATGTGATTATTGGGTAGCGACACGATATAAAAAATGGGGGTATAGGTCGCCAGCAACAAAGGTAATGTCACCATACAAGGGACCAAGGGGGACTTACGGTCTCAGCAGGATTTACACCTTTCCCTTAGTTGCTGGCGATTGTTGCAAGGTTAGCCAGAGATTAAAAGTGAACAAGATTCTGCAGTTGAAATAGAGTTAGATATAAATATACTTTGAATGAGATGGTCTCACATACCCTCTCAAGGGGACAATAGTTTTACGCTACTTTTACCCCCGCCGAGGGCAAAGCCACTATATCAGCTATCCACGGCAATCAGAAATGGTTATACATCTTTGTTCAGTGAAGTGAAGTTATCTACCGGGAGTTCTCGCGTGGTTGTAATACTAATATCCACAAGCAAGCAAGCAATATGCTCAGGATATCTCTTGCGTTTGACATGTATTTTATAATTCGCTTGTTAATCTAAGTGCATTAAAAACGTTCCACAAGGGGCATAAATATCTATTTTTCTCTATCACTCGATCTCTATAAGTGTCTATGCTCACGTTCTGTTTCCAAACCCTGGAGTGAGTGAGTGAGTGAGTGAGTGAGTATGATTTTACGCCGCTTTTAGCAATATTCCAGCAATATCACGGCGGGGGACACCAGAAATGGGCTTCACACATTGTACCCATGTCGGGAATCGAACCCGGGTCTTCGGCGTGACCAGCGAACGCTTTAACCACTAGGCTACCCGACCGCCCCTCCAAACCCTGGACGATCCAGGTGCACCCGTGTTGACCGAGGTATACCGTATTCGACGCAATAAGCGCACAGGGCGCTCTCAAAAATTAGAAAAAAGGGGCTCTTATTAGAATATTATTTTGGTGAAAAAAACAGTGTTGACACTTAAATTTTGTGGTTTATGCTGACAGCCTGAAGTGTTTTGTACGACAGATAATATATATTTTTTTCGAGAATTTAATTGCCCATAATGAAGGGTGCATATAACACACGCGTACGAGTGCGTATTATACGCGAATAAATAAGTCTTGTATACATTGATCAATCGGAAGGGGAGTTAATTGGGATTGTTCACTCGCCAATATATTAGCAAATACCGCCGTGGGCGCTTATTAGAGCGGGGCGCTTATTACGTCGAACACGGTTACCCTAGTTAGCCTTGGCTGACCAATGTTAGCACACGTGAACTAATTTACCTCATCCTTCGATTAACCACGTGTTGCCCATACCTACTAGGGTGTGGTACTCTGGTTAGTAGCCTCATCGTTAGAGCTAATTAGTTTCATTTAAAAAAAATTCAATCATTAATAAAGCAATTTGATAAATGTAATTACCTAGGTATTGGGAGCATATAAATATGTTTGCTAATATGCGCCTGAGGTATGTAATTTCCACTTGTTGCTCTATATATTTTAGAACACGTAATGCAACCTTGCATTTTCTGATGATATTTCTACCTTTCGTTAAATACGCGCCATTTATCAGCGCATCCAAAAATCGTCCGTTTAAAAAAACTAGCGGGGGATATAAGTAGCCTTAAATCCGTCCGTTTTCCGTCACTCGTTCAGATGCCGACCACAATGCACATATTATTTTATTTTCCCTCTTGTTAGGTGTTACATGAAATATTACCTACAAATATTTTATTTATTAACTAACCTATCAACCATTAAGGGATTTTTTTACACACAGTATCGTTTAGTATGTGAATAATCGTACCTAATTTTCTACCAATAATACGATCTGTTTCAAACTTAGATATACATATTTGATGCAACACTGCAAGAGTTATCTCCCTTCGCTGCGGCTGCCTTTTCTTCAGACGATCCAATGAATGCGATTTGAAAAATAACAATTCCGTCATAGATGAATTTAAACGTAATAAAAAGGCTTGGTTGCTGGACTGAAGTCCCTAGAACTATTTTGTTATAGTTTTGTCTCTAAATTGCACAGTAGAAGAGATAATTTGAGGAATAATATTAATTAAAATCGACAAATATGAAAAACTTGTCCAGCATCTATGAGAAGAACACTGACCTTGAGACATGCGAACACCACGCATCTTATAACAGCATATGATATAACAGTACATATACAAAGTGGAAAGTGTAAGAAGGTATCTATGAACATGACTGTATCACCTGTCAGTTCAACTGCGCGTGAGAGCAAATTCGTATTTTTTGGCATGTGGTGGGTGACACCTCATTCGAATGACCCATTGTGAGACAGCGATTCCATCTTTCGTTTCATTTCACCAGTCCAGTGTTTGTTAATACAGGTAAGAATATAAAGAAAATGGCAATTATTACTTTCAAAACAGAATAGGTCTACAGCAACCCTTGCTTGCCGTAAAAGGCGACTATGCTTGTCGTAAGAGGCGACTAACGTTGGTTTGTTTGTTGTTTAACGCCGCACTCCGCAATACTCCAGCTATATGACGGCGGTCTGTAAATAATCGAGTCTGGACCAGACAATCAAGTAATTGATATCATGAGCATCAGTCTACGCAATTGGGATACGATGACATGCATCAAACAAGTCTGACCACCCGAACGAGCCTGACCACCCGATCCCGTTAGTCGTCTCTTACGACAAGCATAGTCGCCTTTTACGGCGAGCATGGGTTGCTGAAGACCCATTCTAACACGGATCTTCGCGGGTCCTTATCATTATGTGAATCACGTACACTGTATGTGATCCCTCTGGTTCCCACTTTAATAAACAGGCTGTACAGAGTTGCGTCCCTTAGGCGGACCAGAATCCTATGATCGTGGGTTCGAGTCCCAGATTTGCCCCGATTATTTTTCTTGATTTGACAGCACCGAACCAGTGATCGTGGGTTTTCATATGAAAATAAGGTCATTGGTACAAAATGTAGGCTAGCTATCTGTTTGAAGATTATGATTGTAGAATATTTCTGTCAATTCTGTCAATCTTACTTTAAGATACTGTCCGATTTTCTGTGTACCGTTTATAATATATAAAGTCCACAAATGTTACGACTTGCGAAGTTCCACATCAGGTAGAAGAAAAAAATACGTTGAGGAAAGGGTGACAGAGAAATAGTGTTTAAGTTTATTGGCCATGTATTAAATTATAGTTAGAAATCCACGATCCCGTAGAAGCTCCGTTATGATGCACTGTGGCTCAATTAATTGCCAATGCATTGAGACACTTTAAGTTAATGTTCCTTTAACTCTTGATCACAATTAATCACGAGGTGTTATAACTTAATATGTAACTGATCCTTTGCGGTGAATATTCCGTGGGAAACTGGTCCCCAGCAAACTATGCTTGTCGAACGAGGTGACTGAATGGTTCGAATGGACAGAGTCGGTGACGCATCGTATCATCGTTGCATAATCGTACGCTAACGGCTGGAGTCGTGGTAAAATCATTCACGCAAGTCTTGCGTACCATTGTATTATATCTTTGGAATATTCCATATATTATAATATAATATATAATATTCCAGTTATTACGGTAGTGAGGCATGCTCTATATCTTCATGGTTCGCACTGCGGTAAGCCGACGCTAGGAATACTGGAGATACAGAGGAGGATATGGAGATCGATCGAGGCAGGGAGACAGATTTTTCTTTTACGAGGCCTCATAAAACAATTTGCAAGATGAACAGTTTTGTTATGTGTTGTATGGAAGCTATGTGGTATGAGTATGTCTCAAGGTCATGCAGTCATATATGTACTGTTATATCATATGCTGTTATAAGATGCGTGGTGTTCGCATGTCTCAAGGTCAGTGTTCCTCTCATAGATGCTGGACAAGTTTTTCATATTTGTCGATTTTAATTAATATTATTATTCCTCAAATTATCTCTTCTACTGTGCAATTTAGAAACAAAACTATAACAGAATAGTTCTAGGGACTTCAGTCCAGCAACCAAGCCTTTTTATTACGTTTGAATTCATCTATGACGGAAATGTTATTTTTCAAATCGCATTCATTGGATCGTCTGAAGAAAAGGCAGCCGCAGCGAAGGGAGATAACTCTTGCAGTGTTGCATCAAATATGTATATCTAAGTTTGAAACTGATCGTATTATGGGTAGAAAATTAGGTACGATTATTCACATACTAAACGATACTGTGTGTATAAAAATCCCTTAATGGTTGTTAGGTTAGTTAATAAATAAAATATTTGTAGGTAATATTTCATGTAACACCTAACAAGTGGGAAAATAAAATAATATGTGCATTGTGGTCGGCATCTTAACCATTGACGGAAAACGGACGGATTTAAGGCTACTTATATCCCCCGCTAGTTTTTTTAAACGGACGATTTTTGGATGCGCTGATAATTGGCGCATATTTAACAAAAGGTAGAAATATCATTAATATCAGACCTGAGTTCTCGCTACCGCTAAACACAGATCTGAGGACATCCCATTACGGGTCACGTTCAGGCCGATCTTGCGAGAACTTTGACCGACCAATGGAATGACCAATCAGAAGGCAGCTCTCTCGTGTTTTACGGCACATAATGATAAGGACCCGTGGAGATCCGGGTTAGAATGGGTCTTCAGCAACCCATGCTCGCTGTAAAAGGCAACACTGTGCTTGTCGTAAGAGGCGACTAACGGACCGGGTGGCCACACTCGTTGGCTTGTTTGCTGCATGTCATCGTATCCAAATTGCGTAAACTGATGCTCATGATATCAATTACTGGGTTGTCTGGTCCAGACTTGATTATTTACAGACCGCCGTCATATAGCTGGAATATTGCGGAGTGCGGCGTTAAACAACAAACAAACCAACGTTAGTCGCTTCTTACGACAAGCATAGTCGCCTTTTACGGCAAGCAAGGGTTGCTGAAGACCTATTCTGTTTTGAAAGTAATAATTGCCATTTTCTTTATATTCTTACCTGTATTGACAAAGACTGGACTGGAATCGCTGTCTCACAATGGGTCATTCGAATGAGGTGTCACCCGTCACACGCCAAAAATACGAATTTGCTCCCACGCGCAGTTGAACTGACAGGTGATGCAGTCTTGTTCATAGATACCTTCTTACACATAAACAGTCCACTTTGTGGGATTTCATCTCATCAACGATCGATAGTCGACAAACCCCGCATTTGCCAAGGGAAGCAACTCTGTACGCAATGTACTCCTGACTGGGTCCAAGGACTCGGCAAGGAAGAATGGTTTTCAATAGATACACTGTTAGGAGTACCTCGCGGATTTAAGTCCTTGAATTGGCAAGTTATTACAAACTGAGCATCTTCCCGAGGCAAGGGAGTTAACTGACTTTAAAAGTTCAGTTTTCACTTTTATGGTCAGGTAACTCTCCTGCCTCGAGAAGATGCAGACTGAGAGGCAAAAGAAAGCACACCGACTTTGTTTTTTATGTAATTGAAAATTGAAAGAACTGTTTGATTATGTCTATTTTACCACCATTTATTCATGTAATAGTTTCTAAAAAGTAATCTGTGCTTGAGTAATTTTGTGTAAAAATATATTGGTTCAATGAGTGAGTGAGTTTGGTTTTACGCCGCTTTTAGCAATATTCCAGCAATATCACGGCGGGGGACACCAGAAATGGGCTTCACACATTTTACCCATGTCGGGAATTGAACCCGGGTCTTCGGCGTGACGAGCGAACGCCTTAACCACTAGGCTACCCGACCGCCCTGGTTCAATGAAGACTGGGGTATGAAATACATTTGCAACCAAATGACCCCTACCATGTGTGAAATGTAGTACATGTGTTTGAAATGTTCACAGCATCTCTATACATATGTGTGTATATTTGCATAGGTGTGTAAATATACAGGCGTGAGTATACTCGTCATGTGAACGCGTTTACTCATGTGTATATTTACACCAGAAGCAAATTTGAATCATGGCTTGAGCTGGTGCAAATGTAAATGTAAATTTGCACTGTATGTCTATGTTGTCATATGAACGTTTATGCCCACGTCAGAAAATGATCTAATTAATATATCTGTTGATTTGCCAACACCAGCCAAATTGTCAACAGCTCTGTATTCTGAATTTGACGCTAATCATTATACAGCCCAATTTCTGGTGTCCCCCGCCGTGATATTGCTGGAATATTGCTAAAAGCGGCGTAAAACCTTACTCACTCACTCACTCATTATACAGCAATACCTACTCCTACGCGGACATCCGGAGCTGGGCGGACGGTGTTTTCCTTGGGTTACAAGGCGTCAATAATTGGTAGTACAGATTAAATCGAACACATGCTGCTTCAAGCGAAGATTCCTGTAAGGTAACTCTTTCCTCATTCGACTTTGATGTGAAAACAATCTTCTCATGTTGAAAGTCGTGAACAGACTGATGAATGTGTGTACATTACGCCATTTACATACATCATTTACATACCTAAGTTAATATTCATGTGAACGCAAAGTAAATTTACATAACACTCACGTATGTATAGTTACGCATGTGCAAAATTACCTACGTGAGTATATATTTTGCACGTGAACGGGGTATAATTAAATACCAATCAACAGTTGTTCATAATGCGGTTTTTTAACTTGAGATATTTTCAATTAAAAATCAAACATGATAAAATCAACTGGTCATCATGTTAGTGATTGTAAATGTCATTCAGTCGCAGGTTAAATGAAGAAGGTGTCTTTTTCAGAACGAGTCTCAGAAGCAAAAGAAGAAACCTTGTGAAATGGGTACAATGTCTGAAGCCCATTTCTGATGGCCCTGCCGTAAAACCATACTCACTCACTCACTCAAATTAATACTGACCCTCAGTCCCTCCTTGAACTCCTCGTGCGTCACACTCATGCTTCCGTCAGCATCGAAGCGACTGAACAACTCCACAATCGTGATGTCTTTAGCCTTGAGGTACTCGCTGATCACTTTCATAGATTCCTCGACGATGTCGTATCCCTTCATCTTGCGTTTGCCGTAGGAGTCCGTGTAGCCGTAGACGACGTCTAACTCGGGGTGCACGTCGTACAAGTCGGACACGAGGTCGGCGAACCGGGAGCTCAGGATCACATCCTGTCGGAGAAGAAACATTTTGAAGAGTTCAAACGTTGTATCTCTTATATAGGAGTTCGAATTTACATCCACTGCGGCCAGCTAGCTATTGTTTTCTCGTTTTCATATACACTCACTGTATTTCATTATTTTATATAGCTATATGGCTGAAATAAAGACGAAGCAACGGTAAATTTCCACTCACGTTATCTATTGTACTCGACAGGGATCGAGCACTTGAAAACATCACTCAACGCTACTTGTCATTTAGGGCATGTCTGGCCTGCCGTTTAAGGCGTCGCTATTCACTATGTATAGAGTTGCGTTCCTAAGGCCTGCCAGAAACATTTCATCGTGGGTTCGAATCCCATATTCACCATAATCATTTTTCTGGGTTCGTCAGCACCATACACGCTCTCGTGGGTTTCAACAAAGTGGTACACTTCCAAGACCTGCATCACTTCGGGCTTTCCTCCCACAAACTGACACGCCGTGGTGATATGACTTAAAGGATATTCAAAGCGGCATTAAACAAAACTCACTCACTCCGTATTGTAGATGTCATACAGTTATATTCATTTTCAATTTCATGTACAGAAACTAGAAAACGATTTCATTAAGGTACACCGACATTGATAGATAGGTCGTTGGTTCAGCACCATTCACTGAAAAACGTTTTACGAAATGATTTTGAAATTACTTTTACTGTATAATGGCGCGTGTCATCCAAAGAAAAAGAAGGAGCCTCCCGATTCGATGATCCGGGTACTGTGTCGGGCAACGCTGAAGGGGTTGTTGTGGTATAAGGTACTACATATATGTCACAATGCACCAAACCGGTTCCTTTGCAGACTTGCCTAATCAAGACCGCCTCCGTGGTCTAGTGGTAGAGCGTCCGCCCGGAGATCGATCCCCGGCCGCGTCATACCAAAAGCCGTTAAAAGATGGTACTTGTTGTTACCCTATCTGGCGCTCGGCATTAAAACAAGGACTGGTCGGCTCGGAGTCAGTATACTGTGTCTGAGTGGGGTATTCATGTTAAACTGCGGCATGGTATCTCAGTGGGCTAGCACTATGAATCGGCATCAGTCCGGACTAGTACAAGCAGCCACACACACACACACACACACATACACGTGCATGCTCGTCGCTATATAAGTGAAATAATCTTGGACGCGACGTTAAACCCAATTTCACCTCACCTTGCCTAATCACATATGCCAAAACTAGATAAAAATCACCCATTTGGAATGGACTTGCGTAGCGTACATTGCTAAGCTGTAGTTGGGGTACAGTTTTTTTAAACCGATTTTGGATATGGTACATTTTAGTTTACATAAATGTATCTGTGGTACATATCTGTAGTTCATATCCATTAGACGGCGACGCCAAGAGCTCAATTAACATGTAATTAAGCTCTAAAACTAATTTTTTAAAAATCATAAAATATAAATGAACATGACCTGTACACACCGACATGTCCAGTTTGGTCAGTTTCAGGGGGTTCGTCATCCTCAACACCTCCACTGCAGCACCGGCACATTCTTCTGAGATGTTGTTTTTACCGATCTGAAATCAGTGGACACAGCAAGTGTGAAACATCACACAAGAAGATGTAAGAGCCACACCTAAATGTTTAAACACGACAGATGGACACCTTAACGTTATACTCACTCGCGTAAGCACCACCCGTGAAGATCCGGTCTTCAGCAACCCATGCTTGCCGTAAAAGGCGACTGTGCTTGTCGTAAAAGGCGACTGACGGGATCGGGTGGTCAGACTCACTGACTTGGTTGATGCATGTGATCGATCCCAATTGCGTGGATCGATGCTCATGATGTCAATCACTGGATTGTCTGGTCCAGACTCGATTATTTACAGACCGCCGTCATATAGCTGGAATACTGCTGAGTGCGGCGTAAAACAACAAACAACCAGACATGTCGTGTAAGTCCAAACATAAAGTCCAGCAGATTGTTAGAGACATAATTTGTTGTTGGTCACAGCTTCAAAACACGCTAAAACAATTTATGTGAAAGGAATAGCCGAACAAGTTAAATATAAAATGTCAAAGCGAAGAATAGTCAGTCTCGATCATCCGCCGAAACAGATTCCAATGGGCTTAAAAGGCAAAAAATGCGACGACAAAGATATGAATGGATAACTGAAAATCAGTGATGAGACCAGGGTCTACTTGCACACAACAATCTTAATTTAGCGCTGCAATCAAGTGGACCCGGGTGTTCGCCAAAGTGTAAGTATGCGCTGCTCTACGGGTTGTTTTTGTATGTTGCCTGAACACTACTCCAAGACGGCAGCCTGTAAACAATCGAGTCATAACCGGACAATCAAGTGATGGACCAGACAATCCAGTGACACGATAGCACATTTACTGAATGAAACTGACAGCCACATCCATTTCAGGACAATCAGCATATTCAGCGAACAAATATACTTTCTTTGGTTAAACGTAATGACAAAAAATTGCTTTCCATTTTTTCTGGAAGTGTTTTAAAAGAAATCCCAACAAACATCACCATTATCCCTACTCAAACCCCACAGTACTATAACCCACCTCGAAAACAAATCCTGTCTCTGACATTCCCCACCCCACAGGACATCACAGGGATGGTCCCCTAATTCCCTTAATTAACGACACCCAACGTTAACATTACCCGTAGTGTTTCCAGAGCGTCGTTGACCTTCAAGGCTGAGACGAGCTCCATGACACCGATCTGCCCGACCCTGTTGCAAGCCACGTCCAGGTCAACCACAACGGAGTTGTTCTTCAAGCACGACGCAAGGGCCACGGCGCCGTCATCGTCGAAGCCGTTCCAGGACACGTTGAACACTTTAATGTTGACGTTTTCCTGGGGCCGGGACAACACATGGAATGAGTGAATGTATGCCGTTTTACGCTACAGTCATCAGTATTCTAGCTATTTTACCACCGCTTGGACTCTTGGCCAGTTAAACCAGTGGTTAATATAATGAGCAACCATCACTCCGTCACCAACCATCACCATCTTACGACAACACGAGGTCTCATGATTGGAAAACGTTAATGAACTGAGGGACAAAAGAAAGTATACAGAATTATTTTTTTTATATTTAAAAAAAACTCCTTGTAGAAGTATTCTTTGAGTGCTTATCAAGCGCTAGTACACTTAATTTATTTCCCATATAATTTCGTCGGAAGACTTTTTCAATTTAAATTCAAACATATGATAAAATGCAGCTGAGATGTATAGTTTCTTTTGCTCCTCAGTCTTTTACTTGTGTTTACTTATTATCTTAAACTAATAGCATATATTTGTATGCTTTAAGTACATATTTGTTGAAAAAGTTGCTGCAAACATGAATTTAGTGTAATGAAAAGTTTCGTAGTCTTACCGACAAGCCTTGGGCTAACTGAATGGCTCCAGCGCCCCGGAAGTGATTCCAGCTAAGGTCGAGTTCTTGCAGGGAACTATTTTCAGCTGGAATAAGAAAATACCATTTTAACTTTTAATTTTGTTCACACTGAAAGAAAACGCATCATTTCCTTGCTTGGAAGAAACTCGGAAAGAGCGATCTTTCTAAAAGTGTCCAAAATAAAAGGCTGCAAACATGTTTGCACTGTTTCTAGTAAAAGCCTCACAAATTCAACAACTCTCCAGACGTTTGCAAAAGGTACTGATTATGCAAATAAACTGCAATTGTTATGTATGGGATCGACGTCTTGAACTGAAAAGATATATCCCGTCTCCACCCGAAATCCTAGTTAGGATTTTTCACCTGACCTAAAAATATTGCTCGCCCTAACGAGGCTCGTTCACATGCCATGCTGATGACTAACACCAAACTACGGGAAAAAGAAAGTAGAACAAATATGGCAAACTTAAGGTCCAAAACACAACTATGGCATCCGTATCAAATACATCACCATCGAATAACCATTTTTGGTTGTTTCATTTTAAGCCAATATCAAACATGGACGTATACTTTCTTTTCTCCCGCAATTTATTCTTATGTAACTCTTCATGGCCTCAGTTAAAAATACTTCACTGTGCAGAGTTGCGTCCCTTGGGCACGCCAGAAACTCAGGATTGTGGGTTCGAATCCCGGTTGGCCTCGATTATGTTTCTAGGTTTGTCAGCACCATACCCGTGCTCGTGGGTTTCACCAAAGTGGTAAACGTCTGAGACCTGCATCACTTAGGGTTTTTCTCCCACATTAAGCTGACACGCAGTGATATGACTGGAATACTGTTCAAAGCGGCGTTAGGCCTACTCACTCACTCACTTAGTGAATTGTGCAGTAAGAGTTTCTCACCTATCATCTGTTGAAGAGCGCCAGCAGCTGCATCTCCGAGTGAGTTGTGGCTGAGGTTGAGACGGACAAGCCCTGTGTGCGCCTGTCAAGTAGACAACATAACTATACTACACAACTTGGACAGGGATATAGACACCATAACTATACTGCACAACTTGGACAGGGATATAGACACCATAATTATGCTACACAACTTGGGTAGGGATACAGTCGAATCTCGTTAAGCAGAAACCGTTTAACAAGAAGAACCGGATGATATGGCAGGTAGCGACTGCGACATCGTTTCTTAATATTATTATTCAAACCCGGATATCATTAAGTAGAAAAACGGGTAAGTGGAACATTTTCTGGTCATTCTACATTGGGAAATTGGGTGTTAATGTAGAAAGGAAATGTAGCAATGGGATAAACTTAGTAAAGTACAGATTCCAGTACTTTGTTGGGTTGAGTCCCGTCCTGATTTTAATGGGATTGCTTCTGTGGTGGATGTCAGCTCATGGGAACTCATCAGCTCATGGGATCTCATCAGCTCATGGGATCTCATCAGCTCATGGAACATTTACTATAACAGTACATGACCTTGGCAGGCACTGATTGGTGTTCACCCTCAATAATCATCATTACTATCGACCTGTGAAGATCCGGATAAGAAATGATCTTCAGAAACCCATGCTTATCGTAAGATGCATGTCATCGTATCCCAATTACGTAGATCGATGCTCATGATGTCAAGCACTTGATTATCTGGTCCAGACTCGATTATTTACAGACCGCCGTCATATAGCTGGACTATTGCTAAGTGCGGCGTTAAACAACAAACAAACAAACCTACCTCAACGGGTTTTGATATGAGTTGTGCATCAGCGTCTGTAAAATCGTTTCCTGAAAATAATAAATTAATATTTGTTTGCTAATAATTGACAAATTAGTAGTACAGTCATGTTTAATGTCAATGCCATGCTATGGGAAACACCTTTGGTAAGTATTGTACAATTTTAGGCAGATAAAGGTAAAATAATCCAAACTTGTCCACTGAAAGTTGATTTTGTTTCAGATGTATTAAATTTCACGCGTCATATTTCCGTCAAAAAAGATACATGTCTCATTGTTGACAAATAAACCACAAAATCACTGTATTAATATATCATTCTACTGATAACTGACTATGTCTTCGAATGAACAAAACACATTGACCAATTGCGCTTCTGAATCTAATGTCAATAAAATAATAGAGTCGACTAGCTGTTCCCTCCCCAAACATGTATAAACTAAAGCGCCTGACACGACACCTGAAAGTGAAGTGTGTCATGGTAGAGAGGGGGGCACCCTCTAGAGACCGCCTACCTGAAGCGTCTAGGTGACGGATAACCTTGTTCACACGCAGCAGTTCCCCAATATGTCGGGCACCTTCTGTTCCCAGATTGTTCTCGGATATATTCTGTTCGAACCAGAGACACGTAAATACCTCATTAATGCCCTGTTTGTGAAGAACATAGGGATACAAATCTTCTCTATGGCCCTGGAGAAGCAAGGAACAAATGCATTTGCAATGTCCTATTTGCTGAAAAAAGAGACCTATATGCCTCTATAATGCCGTTTGTCGTGAAAACAGTGACACAAATACTCCTATAATGCCCTATTTGTTGAAATCAGACACAAACGCCTCTATAATGACTTTTGTGAAAAAAGTGATACACAATTCTCTATAATGCCCTATTTGTTGACAAAAAGGACACAGATGCCTCTATAATGCCGTTTTTCGTGAAAACTGTGACACATGCCTCCATAATGCCCTATTTGTTGACAAAAGGGACACATATGCCTCTATAATGCCGTTTTTCGTGAAAACTGTGACAAATTACTCTATAATGCCCTATTTGTTGACAAAAGGGACAGAGATGCCTCTATAATGCCGTTTTTCGTGAAAACTGTGACAAATGCCTCTGTAATGCCTTTTTTGTTGAAATCAGACACAAATGCCTCTGGCTCTAAATGCCTTTTTCGTGAAAACAATGACACACAATCCTCTATAATGCCCTATTCACAGCGACTTTCGGCCCCTCTGACCACGAAACCACACATGACCCCAGTCTAAAACGAGAAACACCGCCATAAATAATTTTCTCCAAATAAACATTTTTTTAAATCAACAGAATTAAGTACATAATCACGTCAGATAATAAAAAAATGACAACATACAATCAACATACACACGACAGTCCGTTATATAAACCAGGGACCACTCGTGGCAGTTTACGGAAAGCAACGAGTGATGCCGAATGTCAGCACAGCTCACCAGTTCTACAATGTTGTTGTTTTCCTGCATCATGCGCTGCATGTACATCATTCCCGTCGGCCCCATGTCGTTACCGCACATGTTCACGCTGGCTATCCGGTCGTTTATCTGATTCAAAATATCACATATATAACTAAATATAATGAGTGAGTGATTTGGGAATAACGCGCTTTGAACAGTATTTCAGTTACATCATGGAGTGTCATGTTGATGGGACGGAAGCCAGAAGTGATGAAGGCCTTAGACCTTTAACGCTTTGGTGAAACCCACGAGCACGGGTATGGTGCTGACAAACCAAGAAACATAATCGGGGCGAACCGGGATTCGAGCCCACAGTCATAGGTTTCTGGCGTACCCAAGGGACGCAACTCTACACAGCGACTAGCAAGGCCTTAAACGACTTGGCCACTCGCTACCCCTTTACAACAAAAAAATGAAAAATATCCCATTCACTGGAAGTAAGGTTCTTATTTGACCGCAAACCAGGTAGGTACCACCGTCATAGTTTGCTGGGGTGCTTAAAGAAGCGACAAACCGTTTTGATGTCTGCAGTGCAGAGATTATTTAATTAAAATGATTCTTTTTTAAATATACCTTAAAAAAAACAACGAAGACGAATGGATGAATGACACAACGATAATAAGAGGAATGGCACACTTACGACTAGTGCCATAGACACTGCCATCGCGCCACGGGCCCCCATTCCGTAATACTTGAGGTCGAGGTTCTCCGTCACCCTGCCAAGTTTTTTAACACAGTTTGAAGAAGGAATGATCCCCAGTTTACGACAAGCTCGCTCATACGTCCGTGTCCCCGTGTCGTCATAGCTGTGAGGCTTCTCTACAAGGGAAAGTGGAATCTTCAAAACGATTATACCAGTGTCGTCATAGCTGTGAGGCTTCTCTACAAGGGAAAGTGGAATCTTCAAAACGATTATACCAGTGTCGTCATAGCTGTGACGCTTCTCTACAAGGGAAAGTGGAATCTTCAAAACGATTATACCAGTGTCGTCATAGCTGTGAGGCTTCTCTACAAGGGAAAGTGGAATCTTCAAAACGATTATACCAGTGTCGTCATAGCTGTGAGGCTTCTCTACAAGGGAAAGTGGAATCTTCAAAACGATTATACCAGTGTCGTCATAGCTGTGAGGCTTCTCTACAAGGGAAAGTGGAATCTTCAAAACGATTATACCAATGTCGTCATAGCTGTGATGCTTCTCTGCAAGGGAAAGTGGAATCTTCAAAACGATTATACCAGTGTCGTCATAGCTGTGAGGCTTCTCTACAAGGGAAAGGGAAATCTTCAAAACGATTATACCAGTGTCGTCATAGCTGTGAGGCTTCTCTACAAGGGAAAGAGAAATCTTCAAAACGATTATACCAGTGTCGTCATAGCTGTGAGGCTTCTCTACAAGGGAAAGGGAAATCTTCAAAACGATTATACCAGTGTCGGATTCGAGCACGGGTATAGGATCGTAATCATGGGGAATCTGGAATTCGAAACCGTGGCCGTAGGATATTCAGGCTGAAAACAGTCGCCGAAACACAGCAAACCTAAGGTCGAAAGCATGATATGATATGATACACGTATCAAGAACACCACCATCGAATAGCCATTTCTTGTTTGTTTCATTTTTAGCAAAACAAAAAAACCCCACAAAAGTAGTAAAATCGTAAATATCGAATGTTGCCGATATCCATACAAAATTTAAATTATGACCAAAAGTTTACAGGTCATTGCTGCTTGGATTGGAATTGATTTGTGTGAAAAGAATAAGCTATTGCAGAAATTTGGTGAAAAGGTGGAAACATCGAAAAACACAACCACGTGAGAGCCTGGCGCCGAAACACACCAACATGACATGTACGTGCAACATCACTTGTTGGGCTATAAAAACGTTGGGTTTTCATTTGCATGCCATCACAATCCATGCCACGACTGACGGAAGCCTAATGCAACAACGCCATCGGCCGACTGCAAACAGGAGAATCATCTTCAGCTGTAGGGGTTTCCACGTAGCACCAAGAACCACTTACACAAGACTGTGAAACTGTGGACACACGGGACATTCCCAGATCCGGTCGACCGCGTTTCACCACTAGAGCACAGGGCAGATTCATACGGCTACGTCACTCACGTAAAAGAACCACCACGGCCACATCTACAACTACGGTAGATCATGCCAGTCAGTGTTGGACTCTAATGGTGGCCATACAAGATATTGAGAAAAGATTACCTTCACCTTGAAAATATACTATTCCTTGTGCGCCTTGGTCAATGACAATGATGTCTGCCAATTTTGAACAATCGATATTATCTGTTGATTATTTATATGATAAAAAAAATAAACATCTGAAATCACTTTTACGTTCAAAGTATAAAATACTTGTAGTACAAAGATAAACAACCCCGCGTAGATCCCGTGTTAGTGTAGGTTCCCAGTAACCTAGGCTAAATCGGTTGGTCAGACTCTGTGACATGGTTGTTTGCATAGCATCGTACCCCGACAGCATGGGACTTTGCTCATAATATCAATCACTAACTTGCCTGCTCCAGTCTCGATTATTTACAGGCCGCCGGCATATAGCTGATGCATTGTGGGCATATGATCGTACTCTTCTGTCACGGAAGTGAAATATGTGAGCTACACCGGAAGTCGTTAACCAATACAAAACATTACTTACTGCAACCCAAACGACATGCAGTGTATCTTCTCTGGTACGACACTTATCATGGGCGGATACAGCTTTTTTTTTAAAAGTGTGTGTGTGTGTGTGTGTGTGTGTGTGTGTGTGTGTTTGTGTGTGCACAATTCAGATCTATTTATTGTCTTTGGTGGTAATTTATACAGAAATAAAGATTTTTTTCGAAATGTCAGATTAACCATAGTAATATGAAAAAGTCGATGGCCCTTGACTTCTTTTGAGTAGTATATACGTATCTAAAGTGGTATATCTACAGTGCAGGTACCGCGTGCATGTATTCAGGGAACCTAGAAAAGCCAACGGGTTGTCACTTGGATATCTTTAACTGCCAAGTCGTAATTGTTATCCTCGATATAACGCAACGGTTGGACACTTGTGAATACTGACTAGCGATATATGGGACAATATACCATATAGAAATATGGGCTTTTGTCGTGGGAGTCGCGTTATAAGAGAAACACAATCATTTGATAAAATATATGCGTGAAACAGAAACCTGGCAAATAGGAAATCTAGAAGTCTAACATGTATTAAGAAGTGGTTTGTGGAAAGGGTTTTGTCGCTTTTCATCACATAAGAACCGCGATTTATGTTCTGCGAATGTGGATAGACAGGGTAACGAATTTGACGTCCACTTCACATTCGCTTAAAGTGGTTAAAGCGTTCGCTCGTCACGCCGAAGACCCGTGTTCGATTCCCAAAATGGGTACAATGTGTAAAGCCCTTTTCTGGTTTTCCCCGCCGTGAAATTGCTGGAATATTGCTAAAAGCGGCGTAAAACCATACTCACTCACTAATATCGAAGTGAAATTCGCGCAATACAATACATTAGCGTATATATATATATATACGAAATAAGAAACAATATATATTGAAATACTTCAACGAAAAACGAAAAGCAACCTAACAACATTAAAATGTTCACGGATAGCTATTGATTACAGGTAACAAAATGTGCACGATTTCAACTCAATGCGGTCGGGCTCCAACGCGCGATTGATCGACTCCCAGTTACTGAGACACTTATTAACGACAGGATACAAACAAATCCCCTTACACTTCCCAGCGTGAGGGGGATTACCGCAAACCTTCCCGAACACATTAAATAAAAACTTAAACTGAAACCCCGTTAATCCGGACGGTACTGTCTTTATACAGAGTAAACAACCACAGACACAGTACCGTCCGGATAAACGAGTTCACTTTATTTTTGTATTTCCTGTGTCGGGGGAAGCAATGGTAGATGTCCAGAAAGCGAAGTTTCTGGATTAAAGGGGTTTCAATGTACTACTTACCGTTCGTATCGAGTTCAGTTTCCAAATCGTCCTCCACCTCAGCGGCGGGCATACTGGGAGGTACCTTCTTACTGTCGAGGCTGACCGGTCTTGATCCGATGGGGGTGCGGTCGTGTTGTGAGGGGGTGGGGGCGGGTTGTGAGGGGGTGGAGGAACACGGGGTGGGTCCAGGTGTTTGTATATCCTCGTGGCACGTCCTCTGACTGCTGCGGGTATGAACCGAGGAGCGTCCGCTGCTAGCCCTTTGAACGTGTGGCTGTCGGGTAAAAATATACCAGAGATTTACTATAAAGATAACATGTAGCACTGTGTTGCATGTGAAGGCCTTGTATGACGACAGCCAATGGGAGGGCATTCAAGTGTGCAGTGGGTAATAAGATCACCATAATGTGTGTTTTTGTTTCTTGCTACAAAGTGCATTGGCTTGTAGAAAAACAGACAGGCAAGCCATCTGATCAATGGTCCAGAGACGAACATGAACTCCCTTTTAAAGGTTGGATGACGCAAGTGCTTGGTGATTATTGTGTAGTTATTTTAAGACGTTGCTTTTCTACCTTTTTATTTTGTCGTTAGAATAGTGTTCTACGCTAAAATACATAGTCAGAAACGATTTATTTGTTTGCCTGCTCCAGTCTCGATTATTTACAGGCATCGTCGTCATCATCATCATCATCATCATCATCATCATCATCATCATCGGAGCCGTGGGGTAGCCTAGTGGTTAAAGCGTTCGCTCTTCACGACGAAGATCCGGGTTCGATTCCTAACATGGGTACAATGTGTGAGGCACATTTCTAGTGCTTCCAGCTGTGCTATTGCTGGAATATTGCTTCAAACGACGTAAAACCATATTCACTCACTCAACAACCTCTTTCTCTTTTACGAGCAAGGGTAGTCTTAGGTACCGCGTTTCGCTGTGGTGAGTTGCGTCCCTTGGACTACCAGGATCCATTTGCCGTTGCTTCGATTCCCTGAGTTACCCGATTATATATGATAAATCTGCCTCTTTTAACCCCTGCAAATATGTCCAGTGATGATAATGTTGGGGTTAAACCATACCTATGTTCGTGGGTTTCGTGATCTAATAGAAATACTGTTTGAAGCGGCGATAACTCACTCGCTCATACCCTCTCGTGATGTTTTTTTGTTGTTTAACGCCACACTCCGCAATAATGGCGGTGGTCTGTAAAAAATCGAGTCTGGACCAGACAATCCAGTGAGTGATATCATGACATCGATCCACGCAATTGGGATACGTTGACATGCATCTACCAAATCAGCGAGCCTGACCACCCGATCCCGTTAGTCGCCTCTTACGACAAGCATAGTCGCCTTTTACGGCAAGCTGAAGGCATATTTTAACCCGTTTCTTCATGGGTCTTCTCGTTGCGTTAGTCACCGCTTTCATCACCACATCATTAGCAACCTACAGTCAATACAATCGTAAACAACATCATCCTGTCGGTAGATTTTCGTTATCGTCTTCGGGTATGGATACATTTGACTTAATACCCACACTATTCGGTGTATTGGCGAACTTGATCTCTATTGAACCAAAAGGATTAGGAGTCATGAATATTTTTTGGGATACGTTTTTGTAGTGAAGGCTGAGCATACAATTTCATATTTCACATGAAACAATGCTTTTTGGCTCAGTTTATTTCGGTGTGACAGTAAGGACCGCCGCCAGCTGTACGTAGACGCATGAACAGCCATTGCTGAGGTGGGAGAAACGTTCTATAATTTATAGAAAAATGTTTAATGGCGAAGAGCCTCGGAACTTTTCAGTTTCACAAGTTTCGCATTATCGGACATATCAACAAATAGTTATGCATCTACAATCTGAACGGTCGCTGCAGCAACATTGTCAAGTTGTGATACTACTACTACTACTACTACTACTACTACTACTACTACTACTACCACTACGAGTATTAATGCTAATGCCGACGACGATTATGATGATGGCGGAGGTGGTGTAGCAGAAACTACTACTGCTACAGTAACATCTCCTGTTGCTGCTGCTACTAATTGCTGCTACTGTTACTACTTCTACTACTACCCTTGCTGCTAGTGAGTAAATGAGTAACGTTTTCAAAGCTTTTCGCAATATTCCAGCAATATCACGACAGTGGACGCCAGACCTAGGCTTCACACATTGTATCCAAGTGAGGAATCGAACTCGGCTTGTCGAGCGAACGCTTTAACCACCGAGCTACCGCGCCGCTCAACTTCCACTAATGATGATGATGATGACGACGAGAATAATGATTGGGGGCGGTGGGATTGATGATGATGATGGTGATGGTGATGATGATGATGATGATGATGATATGTCATAGTATTATCTCGATCACCAGTTCAATAAACATGCTTCACTCCCAAGGGATTTGCATTCACTTCACCAGTTCATCCTACCGGGTACCCACTTGCTGCTTGGCGTACAATGGCACAGTTCCAACAAAGGCACTTCCAAACGCGACACCACATAGTAATTCCTAAAACATCTATCAACGCTAAATAATGACAATTCTAGAAAAAAAATGGTCATACAATGAACATCATTCGTGGAAGGTATCTTATGGATACTCCCAGATAATCCCAGATTGCAGTAGAATATCGGACCCATGAAGATCCAGGGTAGAATAGGTCATCAGCAACCTATGCTTGCCGTAAAAGGCGACTAACGTGGTCGGTCTGTCAGGCTCGCTGACTTGGTTGCACTTGATGCATGTCATCGTATCTCAGTTGCGTGGATGGATGCTCATGATGTCAATCACTGGATTGTCTGGTCCAGACTCGATTATTTACAGACCGCCGTCTTATAGCTGGAATATTGCTGAGTGCGGCGTTAAACAACAAACAAACATTGGCATATCGACCCTCGGGTTAGAATTTGCCTTCAGAAACCAATGCTTATCGAAAAGGGTTACTAACAGGATTTGGGGGTCAGGCTCGCTGACTTGGTTGATGCATGTTATCGAATCCCAATTACGTAGATCGTTGCTCATGATGTCAATCACTGGATTCTCTGGTCCAGACTCGATTATGTTCGAACCGCCGTCATATAACTGCAATATTGCTGATTACGGTGTTAAACACATGGTTTCAAATCCGGAAGGCTCTGCACATGGAGCTTTTATAACGTCCGTCGTTGAAACTGATTTAAAATTAGACAACTATCTGAAGTCATCAGAAGAAACAGCTGTTTAAATCCACAATCGAAAATAAGTACCACTTAAATCTGATAGGGAATTCACAATATGTAACTTCACGACATTTTAGTATCGAATTTCTTTCTCAGAAAATGGGGAGCCAAACAATTATTTTGGGAGGAATTTTTTCAAGTCACCCAGTAAAAATATATTTCAGTGTCAAAATACCTACCAGTTCTTCCTGAAACATTTTCTTCGCGAATGAATGAATAAACGAGTGGTGAATGAAGCATATATGAAGAAGTTGATTAAATGATAAATGCAAGGATCCGTTGCTATCCCAATGAATGATAAACGTATGAATGAATGAATCAATGAAGAACAGATTGATTCAATTAATGAAAGAAGAAAGTGATGGAATAACAAACGAATGAAAGAAATGATATATGCATGAATTAAATGTCACATACCTGCAGAAGTATTGGTGGTGCGGTAGTCATACTTGTATCCTGTTTTATATCTTAGTATGATACTAACATGCTAATGTTCATGCTAGTGACAAAATGTCACTTTAGATGATGATTCCACACAAGCGGGTATCAACTGTATCCACGATGCCGTCACAATTTGACCAGAGATGACTCTCCCTCAGCTCAAGTGTCTGGACTCGAAACAGCTTTAAAACAATTCTAGCTTTTTTCTTCAGTGCCAGACAATGTCGTTCTACCTAAGTCCATAGGTTGCTGGGGGGTTCATTGTCTAACAAATTAAGCTTTCTCCACTTGACAGTGAAAGGCTGATTGACAGCTAAATATTGACACATATACCCTTCGGTATAGCTTGTCAGTCATGCCAGTAGCTCGCCATTTTCTCCTATCTAGACACGGAATCTTGTGTCAGGTAGGCGATTATTCCAACACTCCTACAAAGCACGCGTCACTGTATTCCGAGTGTGGTTCGTTAATTCCTATCCAAGGCGCTACTCAGACGTCATGTGTTCGATAACGTTAATACCATCAACTTGCAAAGCTCACATTGGTGTTTTATCGACTAGTATGCTACGGGCGTAAACCCTAATCTACCAACAAATGAACGTGAAGTACTTTGTATATTAACTATTATGGCATGACCGAGAAAATATTACACACGTATAATCGTCTATTAATGGCGCATGTAGGTACGAAATGGACACACACCTGGTTCTACAACAAAAGAAATCAATTTAATCCAACTGGGATAATCCGTTTCACTAATCCGACCTGTCAAAGAACTTTTAAGTTACTTAAATGTGCATGAGCAGTGACTTGGGAAATATGGGCAATCTTGTTGTGTGCCGAGACCAGTTCAACAACTGGAGAGAAACTAGACGATTTTTTTGAATAATCAAAATGAATAAATAACTCACCGTAATTAACATGGCCGTTGGTCGCATCTAGAGTCGGAGTTTAACTGGCATTAGTGAGCTCAGCTCGCAACAAGCGAATCAAGCCAAGCGTGTATGTTTAAAGGGACTGTGCGTTTTTATGATATGTGCGTATTAAAGGGACCTTGATGTTCACGTTGAAGGAATTGGAAAGGGTGCAGTTGGATTTGGTCATCTTGAAATGTCATTAAGACACGTAACACCTTTTCGGCGAAATCATTACTCCTCATTTTACGACGCTTAAGTCGGATGTGTCGATATATCGGTTGTTTTTACTGATCACTGGAATCAGAATGCATGGTATTTGTGTCCCTTTAAGCCGAAGTAGGCATGACTGGCGTGTACATCAGTAGCTTAACTGATAATCAGATCGAAATCGGATGTGTCGACACCTCGGATATGTTGAAATGTTTTAAAGATCATTCAGATCAGAATGCATGGTAGTTGCCCTCCTTTAAGCCGGGGCATCCCTGATTGGCATGAATAGCAGTGGTGAGTGGTAATCGGATCGAAATCGGATGTGTCGATAAATCGGATATGTCGATCTGTTTCACTGGAATCAGATATACGGTGTCGTCCACCAATCGGCCGAAGTACCCGTGACTGGCATGCATAGCAGTGGTGGGTATTTGCAGCTTGTCTGGTACACGTGGGACTGCTGTGATATTAAAGGCATTACATGTGATAAGTAATTTGGTAACACATGTAGCAATAACCACGTGACTGTCGCTATTTCAGATAATGTGCCTTTGTAGTTTAAACATGGTCCATTATAGAAAAGAACACAGCTTGATAGTTATATATATATTGTATGGGTTAGGTTTACCGCAGCTTGTAGCAGGTTTCCAACAATTTGCCGATGGATTCGAACCCAACTTTTGGTGTGACGAGCGAACACTTTCATCGTTTGCCTAACCTTCTGTTTGACATATAAAATTTACGTAGATATGCAGATATTAGATATACGATCTACATAGAAAGTAGCGACTGAAAAGTAAGAATGGTTAAAAAAATAATTCTCAACTGACATCTGTCATTTAGAGGTCTAGGGTCCATATTCAGGAAAATGTGTAAAATTGAGTGTAATTACTAGTTGACGAAATCATCTAGATGGTAAAACTGCAGTTGTTTACTGGATCAAGTACTGTTTAAATGGTAAGATTCAAGCATGATGGCCTGGACCCTATTCCCAGCCAAGCCACTTTTACTTAAGTCGAGTCTGGTCGGTGATGAACTGGTGCATGATGTCTTGTAAAAATTCAAACCTAACAGCATGCACCCATCCTCCACCCCACCCCACCACACCATTCCCACCCGTCCACCCACACACACCCAACACACACATATATTTAAGGATTCGCAGATTCCGTATTTATAGCAAGTTTTTCATCACAGGTCATAGTGTACCTTCAGTAGTGCGCCTTTAAGATCAGACAGAGGTCATTCTGTTCAAATCAGGCGTTTCTTCCTATAGTAAAACTAACGTTTAAAATGTGCGCGCACATTTCTCGATGCAGTCGGCTCCAGGACCTTACGAACAATAGACTGGGTCCCGTCTCAATGGCAGAATGACACATAAGTGGTTGAGATCTGATACAGATAGGAATCGATGTCTGTTTGCGACTCGTTTAACGGGAGACTCTCACGCAATGTATACACAAACACTCTAGTATCTACCCGATACAGTGTAGCAGTTAAGTGGGTACGTACCAGGGGTTATGTATGTGTCTCGTTATTACGCAGGGCAGTGGCACTGAGCAACATTGGGTGGGTGTTTAAGATTGGTAACATCGATGTTGACATGGCTATCAGAGCTGATCTAAAAACGCTGCGTCTAAATATTGATTAACATATCGCTCTCAGAGTCTTTGTGGAGATATCATGCCCATGTTTAAGGGGGACTAGAGTTTGGATAAAGGCCGGGTTTTGGCTCACTGAAAATATCAAATTTTGAAGTTACGGAAATACTGTCAAATTCTGTTTAGTTGAAAATGAAGGTTCGTGGAAAAAATAATGTCTTACCGGGTTTTCTACTGACCAAATACGACTTGCGTGCCGTTATTGAATCATCTACCTCACGTTGTTTGTACAGTAAACTACGGTTATAACGAACTCAAAGGGACCACTAATTTAAGTTCGTTTTAACCGTAGTTCGTTAAAGGCATATATGCAGCATATATACAACAAATGGCCGGGACTTAAAAATAAGTTCGTTATAAGCGTGTTCGTTATAACCGTAGTTTACTGTACATTGTTACACACAGTGGTAAGCCGCTTTGTCTGACAGGTTGTTTGCCACAAGAGAGAATTCACTTAGTACAGTGTATTGACATGAACATTATCAGACATATTTTCGTTTTTATATTGGCAAATTTTAGAGTTCTGATGATACAGTATAGAAAATGTATGAAAAATCCGATTTATCCAGCTTGAAGAGAAAGTTAACTGTGAACAGGTCCGTGTCTCAAGGCTCTCAGTGTGGGAAGACTTACTGATGTTCAGATATTGGACACACGTTTCACGACAGCTCTGATGTAAGCTTTTGTGAAACAGTTTATCCTTATCTATGTATTTAGAAATATCATCATCTTTCCACTAACATCAAAACCAAAAGTAACTCCGATCATTTGTTTTAATTATAACAGGAAGGTAATGCTAATTATGATGATTTGGACTGTAAGGCTTTCCAGACTGACCAGTCTTCTACTTTAACTACGTTTATAACGAACACGGTTATAACGAACTGACGGATATAACGAACTGTTTTTTCGGTCCAGTCCATAAGATGTATATGCTGTATGTATGCTTATAACGAACTGAAACTGTGTACACAACAAACCACTTGTGAAGGCAGACCGTTTTGTGTATTGCCGTGAACAAGAAAATCCCTCTTCAAATTTGTTTCATTTTAACACACCGAGTTTCCAATGGACTTTATAGCTACTGGAGGTGCTTTTAAACCGTTGTAATCTTTTATGGGAAATAGACATAGACAGTGCGAGAAAGACCCATAATTGTCTATCTCTAGCCCAGTTAAACATAAGTACACTTTGAACGAAGGCCCCTGTAGAAATATTGCTGAGTGCAGCGCTAAACAATAATACAAAAAGGAATACACGCAAAATCAAGGCCGCACAGACACAAACAACAAAATCACTTTAAACGTTCCAAGAACAAATTATTTGCTTTTGGAAAGACACAGGAAATAAGTGCGTGATAACATGAATAATTAAATACGGCATATTTTTCCCATATCGGGCAGTTGAGTTAGTGCGAATAAACTCTTTCAGGGTAGTCGACATAACAACGGCCAATGTTGCGATAAGAAACACCACACAATCAAACAAAAAATAGTAACCAGCCCCTTGAATCCATGCATTTGCAACCACTGCCTTACTATTTCCTGTCACCAGCAACGAATACTTGTAGGCGACTTAATGGATCGGGTGGTCAGGGCGGGTGTCCCTGTTGAATGCGTGCCATCCTACCCTGGCGGGGTGGATCGTTCCTGATAATATGTTTCTATGAAACGTGATACTAAGAACATGTTTAGTCAGTTTAGTAAGACAGATCATGCACCACTGGTAACCAGTAGATCGGGTGGTCAGTCTCGGGGACGTTGTTGACAACCCGTCAACGTACTCTGATGTGGTTCGTTGCTCACAGTATCAATCACTGGAATGTCTGGTCCGCAGTCACATAGTTGGAGTGCAGCGTTAACAAACAAACAAACAAACAAACAAACAATCAAACAAAGATATGTCAACTGCCCGTGTTTGCAGGGAGATTTGAGGAGATATTTACAACTTAACAATTATTCCGTACATGCATGGAGAGAAGTGTCGATACTGGTTGAAGTAACTGGTGACTTTCGCAAGACATGCAGATACATTTCAGGGAGATATCGTTGTTCTATTTCAATACACGGTGAACACTGAACACTGTGTACATACTTCTAACATCCATGTGACTCTTGTACCGCTGATAGCGATGGGGTTGTGATAAACTCATAATGTTCTCGAACGCGTGGATAATAAGAGTTATCTCCCTTATACCACACACGGATTCTCTCAGCGTTAAGAATAACAATGAAGTTGTGTAAAATTTTCTCTCGCATAAAAGTAATGAAAACGATAAAGAAACAACTACTACCACTACTGCTACTCCTACTACTACTTTTCTACTGCTACTATTGCTGATGCTACTACTACTACAACTGATGCTGATGCTACTACTACTATTGCTGATGCTACTACTACAACTGATGCTACTACTACTACTGCTACTATTGCTGCTGCTACTACTGCCACTACTACTACTACAACTGATACTACTACTACTACTACTACTACTACTACAGCTGCTACTACGACTTACTACATACGTAATAGTATACAATGAAATATAATAATACCATATATCGTATTTGTACTCAAATCACGTATTCAGTCAACAAATGTGTTGCAAAGTTCATGTTTCAAATTATATTTTACCGAAATCTCCCTATCTGGAGAGTTCCGAATGCTTTTAGAAACATTTTGGAAACAATGTGTTTGCAC